GTTTTGTCTCCAAAGCCCCATACACTACCCACCACTGTGACCTGTACGCTCTTGTTGGCTGGTCCTCACTACATGTTCGTCGTCAAACCCACTGGCTCCAGGCCATCTATAAATCACTGCTAGGCAAATCCCCGCCTTATTTTAGCTCATTGGTCACCATAGCAGCACCCACCCGTAGTCTGCGCTCCAGCAGGTATATCTCACTGGTCATTCCCAAAGCCAACACCTCCTTTGGCCGCCATTCCTTCCAGTTCTCTGCTGCCTATGACTGGAACAAATTGCAAAAATCTCTGAAGCTGGAGACTCTTATCTCCCTCACTAACTTTAAGCATCAGTTGTCAGAGCACCTTACCGATCACTGCACATGTACACAGCCCATCTGAAATTAGCCCACCCAACTACCTCATCCCTATATTGTTATTTATTTTGCTCTTTTGCACCCCAGTATCTCTATTTGCACATAATCTCTTGCACATCTAGCATTCCAGTGTTAATACTAATTGTAATTATTTTGCACTATGGCCTATTTATTGCCTTACCTCCATAACTTGCTACATTTGCACACACTGTATATATATTTTCTGTTGTATTTTATGACCTTATGTTTTTTTACCCCATATGTAACTCTGTGTTGTTGTTTTTATCGCACTGCTTTGCTTTATCTTGGCCAGGTCGCAGTTGTAAATGAGAACTTGTTCTCAACTGGCTTACCTGGTTAAATAAAGGTGAAATAAATAAAATAAAATAAAAAAGGTGTGATCATTGAAGAAATTAAATTAACAATGTTTAGCAGGCACTAGTTTGCATCAAGCCTGTCTTGAGCATTTGACCATAGGTTCCCATCGAAATTGCAGTGAATATCCTCATTGTTCATGCACCTGGGGAAAAACCTTTTGGCATGGCGAATCCAAGCCATGCATCATCCATGGCCTGAAGGAGGGTGGAACGCTCATGGGGATGACAGTCATACATGTTCCACTGGGGTCACATACCAAAATGTGTGGACTGTTGTCACTTTGGATTAAAGCGTCTGCTATGTAAATGGCATATATTACAGTATTACAGCACTGTATTGGCCAATGCAATTTTAGTAAAGCAGTATGAGTCCCGCCCCCCAATTGATATTGTATTACTGCACTGTAGGAACTAGAAACACAAGCATTTTGCTGCACCAGCTGTAACATCTGCTAATCTGTAGCAGACAAACCAGTTTACAGTATTGACTTTGACTTCACTTTTACCAAATGTTTAAGTGATCATCAATTAAGAGCAGTTGGATTAAGTAATAGTAAAATATATTTTAACAAAAGAGAAGAGAATCATGTCAAAAGTAATGTGAGCATTGCATTGTGAAAGGCAATTACTTTATATGAACATGTATTTACATTTTACATTTTAGTCATTTAGCAGACACTCTTATCCAGAGCGATTTACAGTTAGTGAGTGCATACATTTTCATACTGCCCCCCCCCCCCCGTGGGAAACGAACCCACAACCCTGGCGTTGCAAGCGCCATGCTCTACCAACATTGCAGTGTGAAACATGTATCTAGATTAAACACTTATTAAGTTTGGTGAAAAAGTGACTGTATGATTTTGTGTGATGTACTTAGTCAATTGAAAATGTCCTTAGAATTTTGAAAACAACTGCCTTATTGATCTGTTTTGGGTTTTGTACTAAGAGTTGTGAAAATTGCACCGAAGCGATTAAAAAAACTGTACGAATCCCTTCCATGGTTTGACAGACCACAGACACGCAGTGTAAACAGCTCTCTGACAGAGAGTGGGATCTATTTTCGGCTGCTGTTAAGGCAGCGCTCGTGTCAAACGCGCGTTAGTTTCAATTTCGTCATGTAAAAACTGGCGCACTGGCATTTTCCAGCTCTAACGCCAGGTTCGGCAATTTACCTGTCTAACATCAGCACGCTTGCGCTCAGATGGGAGAGGTGGAAATATTTTAGCTGTGTCCTTAAAAACATGATCCAAAGTGCTAATTTCAGGGAGCGCTGATAGGGATATTTAAGACCAACCAAAAGCTGGTTTGAGCGTTAACACAGTTTTTGACAGCGGAAACTCCGACTATCCAGCCGTGACGCACGCCGCCCATATGCCCATTGAACAAGAGTAGCATAATGTGCTTTTGGTGCCTGTATTTAGAAACATAAAAACCTGATGTTTTTTTCCTATTTCATTAAATTTAATTAAAAACCAAGTATAGCCTCACCTCCTCTCAATTAAGGCTTTTTTTTTTGTCTACCCAATGCAATTGTGAAGTAGTCAAGACTGTCGATAAAGGGTTTGGCTCCTGAAACCTCTTGGAAATAAATCTCATTCACCAAAGCTTTATTCAATGATCAAGTTTGAGAGGAGTAAAACAGTGAGCTGACATTCCGATTATGTTCATAAAACATAGGCCTATTTGGGAGCAGTATAACGGTGTGTGGACATTCTCCCCTTCTATTTATATTGGATCTTTGTCCAGCTACTGTGAAAAGTTTGGATGTGCGTAAAACCCTCAATAGTCTGCGTTGTTTTAATATTATATACCCATGGGGAGAAATTATGGTGCCTCTAAGTGTGACAGCCGATTTAAAACAAGTTGTTGTTTCAATTTGATTAGGATTATTCGTTCTCTTTTTAGGCCTTATCAATCATTAATTTAATCTTGCTTATTGACAACGTTTGGCATGTCCATGCTCAGCCAAAATGCAATTTACAGTAAGCCTAGCCCCTATATCAGTGCGAATTCTATGTATATATTTTCACAATAAAACCAAGCAATTACTTAACGTATTTAGCAAAGATAGGTCTACATTTTGTTATTTAGTTTCTGTAAGTCATTTAACAAACTATAACGGACTAACATTGGAATTGGAGTTGATTCCATGGCAATACATAAAAGACTGTAAATACACAACTTGAAGCAACCACATATTTCGCCATTGCGCACGCTCTGATTGGCCAGTGAGAGACCAAGCCTCGACACACCCACAACTTGTTTATTCATCAAAACCAAGTGCGCCAATAATTGTGATAGTGAAAATAGCAAAAATATTTCTGACACACCCCTGAACCAATAACAGTTGCCTGCAGTTGATTTACCATTGTGTTAGATTTGTTCAAATAGAGACAGATGTCATTGTCTGAGGTGCTGTCAGTCAGCTGTCTGTGAGTCAGAAGGGGAAGATGTACGAATGCATGTCTGCATGGGACAAAACAATAAGAAAGAAAGATAGAGAGAGATATGAAAAGGAAGGGATTATGAGCTCACAGCGACATTGGGTCCTTGAAAAGCACTATATAAATAGAATGTATTATTGTTGTTATTATTATTATTATTATTAGGTTCAATTGCTACAACATATACTGTACAGAGCGAGAACTAACTGGTGGACAAGATTAGTTAACAATGGATCTAGAACATAGAAAGAGTCCCTCGACCTTGTCAACCAAGGCTATGATCTGATAGGTAATCAATATCAATCTCTGTGATTCCCTGGTAATGCACAGGCATGCACGCAGGCACACACACACACAGGCACGCACACACACACACACACACACGCACACACACACACAGAGTTTATTATTGATCAACACCCGAAAGCAGCACAGCTCAAAGCTTGGACACCTCCTTTAGTACACACTGCATGACATTTCTCTGTCTCTCTTCCGCTTCTTTTCTGTCCTCTCTTACTTGTTCTTTTTTTCTTTCCTTGTTTTTGCCACCATTTCCTTGTCTCCTGACTTATTGTTGATGTGTATGGGTGGTGGTGTAGAGCTGGTGAACAGAAACACTGGTATGTTGTTGAGGAACTCTCTTTAGACTTTGGACATATTGAGACTTGCTCCATCCCAGGAATGCAGGGAAATACCTTCACTCCCAGAGCTACACCCAGAGAGAATCACACACACGCACGTGCACATTCTTCAATAACTGCTACTATAGTTTCACACCATACATACATTCTCACGGACAAAATGACGAAAGCAGCTGTCATTGACAGAAGTGCATAAATACCATGCCTTTCTGTGTTCCTACTGTAGCCTATGTGTGTGTTGGTTTAGATTAGGATTATCCTAATGTGAGATTGAACCGTCAGTGTCAGTTTAAGTTTAATGACACTGTGAACTACCGGTTAAAGTCAGAGTCTACATGTTACAGTATGTGAGAAGGGCATTGTTTCTCAGCTCTCTGGTTTTATCATTAGTTAGTTCAGTGATGGATATCAGGCCTATTTCACAGAGAGAGTTTCTGCTTGTTTAGGTGACTCATAGAATCTCTTTCTTTCTTTCTCACACACACACCCTCTCACTCACACACACATACACACTCACACGCACACACAAACACACACACACACAAACACACATACACACACACACACAATCTCTTTCTGTCATATGACTCAATTATAGGACTGATATCTAATCTCTTCTCCCTTTCTCTCACTCTTTCCTCCTTTCCCTCTACCTTATACATTTTTCTTGTCATCTTTGAGTGGATACATATCACACAGGCTTTGCTTATACTTTTACAATGATCAAACAATGAATGAAACAAATATCCATATTAGTAGCATGTGACTGATGGGTGTGTGTGTGTGTATGTGTGTGTGTGTGCGCATGTGTGTATAGCTCTCATCACCGATGGTGAAGTTCAGATGCCGTATCTTAATTTGATAATCCTGTTGCAGGAAAAATTTCAAGTGGTGTATTCAAGGTTTAAAAAGGCTTATACATTTTGTAATTTCCACTTAAAAATGTCAGACTTGAAAAATTTATCAACCCCTACAAAAAATGTCAGTTAATTATAATCCACATAACAATTGACATTTCCTGTTGCTGCAGGATTATTTTCCTGCTGAAGCAAACTGACTCAAATTAATAACCTACATCTAACTGAATCACGGCTGTCATGTGCGTATGAACAGAAGGCTGAGTGATGGACTGTTACTACAAATGTGTTGCTGTGGTTACATTCTGCTTGGTCATGTCTTTGAACAGGTGGCCCAGTGACACGTCACCATGGCGCCCTTCTTGCGGATCACCTTCAACTCCTACGACCTGGGTGTTCTGTCCCCCCTGGCCCCTTCTGAAACCCCCTTCTGTGCCATCAAGATGAAGGAGGCCCTCACCACCGGTGAGAATCTGACTATTACTATAGTTACTAGTGTGTTATAGTAGGAATATATTAGTCCCATTGTCCCATACAGTTATATTGTAACCCTGTCATTAAATACTGTATACTGTATGTCCTATGAAAGTCATGCACGAGGACCAGTGTGGTACAGATATGCAGGTTTTTAGATTGCTAGACAAGAGTATGAAAGAAATCAATCTCTATCTAACCTCTCTTTCTAACCTCTATCTAACCACTCTCTCTCTCCTTCCCTCTCTCCCTCCTTCTCTCCAGAGCGTGGTAAGATGCTGGTTCAGAAGAAGCCCACCATGTTCCCAGCCTGGAAGGCCAGCTTCGACGCTCACATCTACGAGGGGCGTGTCCTGCAGGTGCTGCTGATGAAGACCGCCGAGGAGCCATTGGCCGAAGTCACAGTGGGCGTGTCTGTCCTTGCCGAGCGCTGCAAAAAGGCCAACGGCCGCGCTGAATTCTGGGTAAGAGGGACTGTGGCTACAGTGTGATTCTCTACTGTCCTGCATGAATTGTGTGTCTAACTTTCAGATGATTGTGTGTGTGTGTGTTCAGGTGGACCTGCAGCCCTCAGGGAAGGTGATGATGGCAGTGCAGTACTTCTTGGAGGGAGCAACTGATACAGGTGAGACTCAGGAGATGAAGCCCACCTCTCATCTTCTCATCCTCCTCTGTTCCCCTCCTATCTGGTCTGTTTTTGATGTATATTTTAAATGTCATGTTTGTCACTCTGAAGCTGTCTGTCTGTTGCCTTGGTTCTCATCTGTTCAATGCTAATTTTTGGAGTACAGACGGAGCAAGAGGTAACAGAGCAGACTGTTTGTTTGTGTGTGTGTGTCAGAATGGACAGAGAGGACTTGGAGAGATTGGGAGTAAATGTCCACTGCATTGAATCATATCTACAGAATAAGCCCCAGAGTCCCTGGTCCCCTGTTCTAAAGTCTTTATCTTTTTTAAAATCTCTACTGTGTGTACGTGCTATCTATTCCCCTCTCATTTGTCTCACTCAAGCACACATACACACACACACACATACACACACACACACAGAAACACACACACACACATTATTGCAGTCATGTATAGGTCTTGTATATGAAAACCTGTCTGTTGGGTTTTCTAAACATAGTTCTCTAACTGGCTGCTCTGTAAGGTTTTGCCTGTTTTCTCATACCAACAGTGGACCAAGCACTCCAAATGTTGTCACTACTATTCCTAACGCAACAGTAATGGTTCTTAACCATAACGCTCTGCTGTTAGCCTGACTCTCTCCCTGTCACCCATAGAGGGCAAGCCCACGAAGGAGGAGGAAGGGGGTCCCACCATAAACCGCAGACGAGGAGCCATCAAACAGGCCAAGATCCACGAGGTCAAATGTCACGAGTTCATCGCCACCTTCTTCAGACAGCCCACCTTCTGCTCCGTCTGCAGAGAGTTTGTCTGGTCAGTTATTCAATCTGTCCAGCCGTCTGTCCTCATGGCTCTTTACTCCTAGCTCTACTTTCTGTGGCTTCATGCTAACCGAAGTGATTCCGTATTTACAAGTTGTATTATCAGTTCCAATCTAATTTAAGTGGCAATGTCTTGGTCGGTCTACTTTATACTGAGAGACTGAGTGGAGCGATAAGATAAGGCAATGTCTTAGTATAGCCTCTGATCTCCTCCTATCTATCTAACTTTAGGGGTTGGTGTCTCGGGGAGCGGGTCAGAAGTCCTGCATTGTCTGGAAATAACCACACAATATCAACATTTAGCACTGTATTTGCAAAATCAGCACAGCTTCCACTACTAGTCATTTATTTTCAACCTGTAGTGTGTTCTACTAGAACAGGTTGTGTCTGTAGAGAGGGTGGAAGAGTCTCTGTGTGCTGCTGTATTAACATTAGACCTGTCATCTATATACTACATTCTCACATTGTCTCCGTTCATCCTCACTGGCCCTCCACAATCTCTCACTCCCGTACCTTTGTATTCTACAGGGGGCTCAACAAGCAAGGGTACAAGTGCAGACGTAAGTGTACAATAATGTGGACAACCTACTGCTATACAACCACATACACACAACTTCATAGATCCACATCTATAAAAACTGTAGTTATAAACACTACCTCAATGCAGAGCAGATTATACAGCCCTACCAGTGACTTCAATATCTGCCTGTATGAACAGTGCTCACCTGCCATTAATGTACTCCTTATCCCTTCTCTCCCAGAATGCAATGCAGCTATTCACAAGAAATGCATCGACAAGATCATCGGCAGGTGTACGGGCACGGCAGCCAACAGCCGGGACACTGTGGTACGTTGGGACTACTAATTAATTAATTAATTAATAAACGTATTTACTTGTCCATGTGTCAATCCAATGTGGAGTTTACTCCCTATGAGTTTTCTGTTCCATTCAAACATGAGGGAATCTCCATTCACGCTAACGTAAGGGGTGTGTTCTGAGTGAGAGAGGGGCTTATATAAGGTCCTCTCTAGACTAGAGAGAGCAGGAGAGGAGACCAAGAGAAAGTGTGCCTGTCAGTCTATGGAGAGAGAGAGAGAGAGAGAGAGAGAGAGACTCCCTCCCAGGTGTCGCCCCACTCCCTCCCAGGTGTCGCCCCCTCTCTAGACTAGAGAGAGCAGGAGAGGAGACCAAGAGAAAGTGTGCCTGTCAGTCTATGGAGAGAGAGAGAGAGAGACTCCCTCCCAGGTGTCTCCCCCCCCCCCCCCCCCCCCCCCCCGGTACTGATGGATCTGGTTGTTGATGAGTTGTGTGTGCCTCCATCACAGTTCCATAAGGAGCGCTTTAAGATTGACATGCCACACCGCTTCAAGAACCACAACTACATGAGTCCCACCTTCTGTGACCACTGTGGCAGTCTGCTGTGGGGCCTGGTGAAGCAGGGCCTGAAGTGTGAAGGTAAGGAGCTGTGTGTGTGTTGTGTCTGCATTGTCATTGTATTTAACTGGATACTGTAACTCTTCTATGCTCTCCTAGATTGTGCCATGAATGTGCATCATAAGTGTCAGGATAAAGTGGCCAACCTTTGTGGAATCAACCAGAAACTACTGGCTGAAGCACTTACTCAAGTTAGCCAGGTGAGTGAGGGAGCTGGTTGTGTGTATGTGCAAGCGTGCAGGCATGTGTGTGGAAGTGTGTTCTTGCAAGTGTGGGTGTGTGTGTGTGTTAGTGCATGTATGTATATTTGTGTGTGCGTGAATGTGTGTGTGTGTTGACAGATGTTACTGAATGTGTGTGAATGACACCTGACCCAGATCTAGCTGTATGGCTATGGGAACCTGAGCTTCTTGTCCTGGGCCCAGTTTTAAAAAAGTTCCGGATTTCGGCTATCGGATAGGATTAAATGCATAGAAAAATAATGAATAGACCGGGGGTCCCCATTAAAGTCAATGATTTGTCCGTTCCATTCATTCTATTTCTATGCATTTAATCCTATCCATCGGTGAAATCCAGATAGATAACCTTTGAAAAACTAAGCCCTGGTGTGTTTAAGTTCAGGAAGACTTGTTGAGGTGCTGAGGCATCCAATAACACTAATGCTCCTTATCATGGCCCTGTCTAGCCAATAGCAATCAATAACTATCTTCCCCTGGACACTATGTTTAACTATCATGTTATGACTATGGTCTGACTGAATAAGCTGCTATGTCATTCTTATGTCAGCATTATGTAGGCCTTATAACAGTGTGGTCAAATGAAATGCTCAATAACCGTCAACTACAGTCTTTTACAGCACTGTCCCTGTGCCAATCATATCCCCCATACAGTGTATGCATCTTGGTTTATGGGTATCTGTCAATGGTGACAACGAAGGTGTATTTATTTGTTTCTCCCTCTCATCACCCTTCTGTATGCATATTATCTCTCCCTTTATCTCTTTTATGTCTTTCAGAAATCCTCCACTCGGCGCTTGGACCCAACCCTACCTGACCCAGATATAGGGGTCTATGAGGAAGTCAATAGGAATTCCACTAGTGGTCTGGATGTCAATGGTCAGTCTGTGTGTGTTTGATTTCATGAACATATTTGATGAGGTGTTATGTTAAATTCACTGAAATCAAGTTTGTGTGGATGCTTTGGAGTAAAATATGTTTTTATATATAACGTTCATTATAATGATGATGATGATGATGACCATTGTGATGATGACCTTATAACCTGTGTGTGTTCCCCAGACGGCCCCCCTTATGGCAGGCTGTGGGAGGGCTCCAGCCCGCGCCCCCCATCTCGCCTCACCCACCTGACACTCATCAACGTAGACAACTTTGTCTTTCACAAGGTCCTAGGCAAGGGCAGCTTTGGCAAGGTAAGCCTGGTACAGCAGACATTCAGGATTCCAGAGCAGTAAAGGTCACCACAGTACAGTTCACATACAGGAAAGCAGTAGGGACAACAGACTTTAATATTACCACCAATATAATATTGAATCAGGCTCTCCCCTCTTCTTTTGTTTTCTCTTCTTTTCCTCTCTTCTTTCCTTTATTCTGTTCTTATCCTCTCTTCTCATGTTCTTCCCTCTACTGTCCCTCCTCTCTTCAACCCTCCCTTCTCTCCCAGGTCCTGCTGGCAGAGTTGAAAGGTCAGGGGGAGTGGTTTGCGGTGAAGGCTCTGAAGAAAGACGTAGTGCTGATGGATGATGATGTGGAGTGTACCATGGTGGAGAAGAGAGTCCTGGCCTTGGCCTGGGACAACCCCTTCCTCACACACCTCTACTCCACCTTCCAGTCCAAGGTACGGACTGTAACCCTACACCCACTCCTCGCTCCCCTTTTTGTGTGTCATTCTTGTTATTTTACACCGTTTTTTTCTGATTAGCATTAGTAATACCGATAAGGGTCTACAAAAGCTGTCTCCAATAAGAAGTGATGTAAACACATCAACTCGCTATCATAGCTTATTACACTACTACTGTACTAGGTAGCTTTACAGTATGTGTTATGATGCCTGACCTTGACCGTGTTTTCCACAGGAACACCTGTTCTTTGTCATGGAATATCTGAATGGAGGAGACCTGATGTTCCATATTCAGGAGAAGGGACGCTTTGACCTCTACAGAGCAACGTGAGTTTCGCCAGTCACACAGACAGAGATCAATACACACCCCTAATGTCACTATTACTCATAGAGACACAGACACTCACCACCAATACTCTGATGGAAACCAGACAGCCATAAAGCAAAGACGGTGTTTACACAGTGTGAGACTGTGGCTGTGTGTTATGGGGTTATGGGCTTTCCCTGCTACATACAGGGAAATGGTGCATTGGTGGATTTTGGGTTAGTCACCGTCCATGGGTAGCTGTTCGCCAATGCGAAGGAGTGTGTGTGTCTCTGTCTGTCAGTGTGACTGTATTTGTTTTTGCAGGAGTCCCACAAGAGAAAGACTGATGTGTATAGATTCAGATAGTTTGAGTGAGGTCAAACACAGAGGAGGTACAGAGTCTCGTGGCTGTTGAGCCCTTCTGAGTGTGGATCTGAAACGGGATGTTAAACTAACTGGTGCTTAGTTATAGTGGTGTTCAAGTTTTTCAGTCGTTAGGCGCCTCTATCCCCTCTATGCTCAGGACAGGTGAGATGACAGGAGACATTCACTTCTCCACTGTTGCCAGCTATACCTGATCCAGCATTGGCATCTGCTCCTACTGTCCTCACACACTCTCCCTGGTCCTCACCGACAGTTTCAGAGTGGGAGAGAGATGTTCACCTCTCTGCTCTTGTTTTATTAATCATTAACTAATTGTGTGTTTGTGTGTGTGCGTGTGTGTGTGCATTTGCGCACCACACAAGCTGGCAGCGCAGAATGGAAAGTCTTGTGGGTTTGGTTTCCTGGTTATGTAATATTTTTCCCTGGGCAGATTGGTAAACTGCTGAGTTTCCAATGAGTCCCACTATCACAGAACAATAAACCTGTTCATGTATCCACTAATTGACCTCTTAACCCAATGGCACAAAGACAGTGGGCGACGCCCTAAACACACTTAACACACAACAGTAAAACCCAATACACACTGTTTCTTACTGAGTTGCCTCTTCACCATTTGGCATACTATTGTGTGGTTCCCCCAGAATAGTACAGTGTGTGTCTACATGCATATGTGTGTGTGAGTGTATATGGGTCATTCCACCAATAGAGTGCCTTTTGGGTAGTGTAATTTGGTTTAAAACAATTAAAGTTTAACCTACTTTTAACATACGGTCATAAAGACCACATGTTCTTCATAAAAAACATGTTTTCCCATCTCAAGAGGTTAAATAAAAAAAGTACTTTAGTAAGTGCCAAATAAAGTAACAGGGTTGACCCTAACACGGTTGATGTTTTCAACGATAAATCCCCTTGTGACAGAGGGAATGGAAGCTTGTTGTGTGCAACACGGAGGGGCAATTAAAAGTTCTGTTCACGTAACAGGGTTGACCTTAAAATGAGGGACAGACATAAATAAATCACTAATCACATGAAATAAATAATAATCTTCAGAAATGACTTTGTCAAAGCAACAAAATAACTAGGGCTTTACAATGATGGTGAACATTTGGGGGTTAAGTGTGTTAAAATCTTCCAATAAGTCAGAAAAACATGGTATTTTAACACGTTTTTATTCATATAAAAAATCGGATTAATTGATTTTCCATGTGGTTCATATTAAAGGGCACATCATTTAATATAACAGGCTTTTAAAAATCAATATTGGTGCACAATTTCAACTTAAAATATCAAAGGTACTCTATTCGTGGAACAAACTACCCATATGATGGTGTGTGTGTAGCCGTTTGATACCAGGACATCTTAGATACGGCTGATGCGTGTGATAATACCTACTTGTGTGTGAGTGAGAGTCAGACGAGAAACCTGTCTGGACAAAGCTTACTTCCTGTCAATCATTTAATCTCTCAATCCCAATCAATCATCAGCAACAAGAGCATACAGAGTCTCTCTCCACCCATGCAAGAGTTGAAAAGAGAAGCAGGTCAGAGATACTGTAGGCTAATCCTTCAGCTGTGGCTAGGCTGGGGCCCACTGGGCCAGGAGCACCTCTCAGGTTTCACCCTACAGTATGAGGCCATTGTTCAGCTGTCTTCTCTGAGCACCACTCTATACAAAATGGCCTCTTCAATAATGCAGTTATCTACACACTGGACTGGAGTCGTCAGGGACAGACAGCAGTGTTCAGGGACCAACTCAATAGGAAAGTAGATAGAGTAGTACTCTGCTGCCAGCTAGCTGGATCTCTAGAGTGTGTAGTGATGTTTCTCTCTTTTTCCTCCCTCCAGGTTCTACTCTGCTGAGATCATATGTGGCCTTCAGTTTCTGCACTCCAAAGGGATCATTTACAGGTAAATCGCAAATGCCATCATCAGCACTCTAATGTACACTCACTAACTTCTTACTCACTCAATCACATTACCATACAGATAAAAGAAAATGGCCAGAGCCCTTCCACCAAGGATTGATATAGTGATAGTGTCACGTTGTGGGACAGTGAGTATGTGATTATTAGCTGTGCTTTTCTATACTGTCACAACTCTAGTCACCCTCTCAACCTTTCGACACCACACATTTCTTCCCATCCTGTCTTCCCTCCAATTCTCCCTCACCTGTTTTGTCTTTCTGCCCTCAGAGACCTGAAGTTGGACAATGTGATGTTAGATCATAGCGGCCATGTAAAGATAGCAGACTTTGGCATGTGTAAGGAGAATGTGTTTGGAGAGAGCATGGCCACAACCTTCTGTGGGACTCCTGACTACATCGCTCCAGAGGTATGGGACACAGACATACACTTTTAGAAAAAAGGGTTCCAAACGGTTTCAATGGCTGTCCCCATTTTGAGAATCCTTTTTGGTTCCAGATAGAACCCTTTTTGGTTCCAGGTAGAACTATTTTGGGTTCCATGTAGAAACCCTCTGTGGAAAGGGTTCTACATGGAACTCGAAAGGGTTCTACCTGGAACCAAAAAGGGTTCTTTAAAGGGTTATCCTATGAGGACAGCCGAAGAACCCTTTTAGGTTCTAGATAGCACCTTTTTTTTCTAAGAGTGTACTGTATACATGGCTGCATCTCATGACACCCTATTCCCTATTTAGTACCCTACTATTGACCAGAGCCAGAGTAGTGCACTTTATAGATGGGTTAGGTGACAACATCACAAAAACGATGCGCACACTTCAATAGGGCAGAAGTCTGTGTCTGTGTTTTGATTCTGGATGGCCAGATAGCTAGCAACAATGACAAGAAGCTGCCATGTGTGGAATCGTAGGTGGCTCGTTTCAGATAGTTTTATCTTGTTCTTGTCTTGTTTTGAGGTGTTTGGCTGATGTCAAGTTTATGCTAATATAGCAACATTTTGGAAGCTAGCTAACCAACAACTGTGATGATGTATTTGAGAGACAAGTGCTCATTGTGCAAATGTATTTATGTTTTCAATAAACATTGGAGACTAAGTACAGTTTACATGTTGTCAACAATCTAAGCCAACCCGGTCTGTTTTGCCCCATAGTTGCGCACGCGGCGGTTTTAATGCTAAACAACCAACCTGTCTATAGGAAATAGGGTATTATTTAAGAAGCAATCACTGTGAGTATATCTTTGCGAGTGTCTCACTATGATGATGTCACTGACCGTGTCTTTCTATCTGATGACGTCACTTTTAGATCCTGCTGGGTCAGAAGTACTCCTTCTCCGTGGACTGGTGGTCGTTCGGGGTGCTGCTGTACGAGATGCTGATTGGTCAGTCACCCTTCCATGGTGATGACGAGGACGAGCTTTTTGAGTCTATCCGCACGGACACGCCACACTACCCTCGCTGGATCACCAAGGAGGCCAAGGACCTGATGGAGAAGGTTTGCTCACCCCCATTCCCTCCTCCCATACAGTGTTCCTATTCTGCCTCGGAGTCTGTTTCTCTCCTCCATTGTGTGTTTTTATCCCTTACTCACTGTTTCTTTCCTCCACCGCTGCAGCTGTTTGAGAGAAACTCCACTCGCAGGCTAGGCATCGTTGATAACATCCGTGTCCACCCCTTCTTCAAGACCATCAGCTGGCCCGCCCTGGAGAGGCGGGAGGTGGAACCCCCCTTCAAACCCAAAGTGGTACGGTCTAGACATGAGGTTTTATAGTAATGATATAAAACAGTTGTAATATATAGGCCTACCATAATATAACACACAGTATTTGGGGTAGTTTCAAAGAGGAGAAGAGCCATTCATGTATCTAATCAAAGTTCTACAGTAATTCAACTACTGAATGCTCAGTAGAAATCAGGCATGTGCTGTTCATAATTTGATTAATCACTGATTGTCTCCATGTATCACTTGTCCTCCCTACTGATTGACATCTCTCCTGCCAATCACAGAAAGCCCCCAACGACTGCAGCAACTTTGACCGGGAGTTCCTCAGTGAGAAACCCTGCCTTTCCCATGGTGACAAGAACTTCATGGATTCCATGGACCAATCAGCTTTCGCCGGGTTCTCCTTCATCAACCCAGAGATGGAGCACCTCCTGGAAAAGTGAGGGAGGGCCTCTCAGCCAATCCCCATGCTCTTAGTTCTCAGTGACATTACTGGGGTCATAGGGGAAAGCCAGGGATACATTACTACTGGGTTGTTCCATGAAATGGTTGCCTTTTGGACATGCAAACTTTTAAGAAATTAATTTCAAAATATATTTTCTTTCAACATTCAATTGCATTCAATGTGATCAAACCCTCAACTTGAGTGAGCTGTTCAATGTTCAGTATTTGTGACTGTAATAGAAGCACAAGCAGTCTCCTATGGAAAAACACTTTTTCCCATCTCAGGCATAAAAATCCTATGAACTAAGAGCATTTTATCTGCACTTGTACCACACTTATATAACTGCCTAACTATTATTTAAAAGCATGTTTGAGATAAATCCAACATTTTCTCATTGATCAAATATCCCTTGAACAAATAACTCCCATATAATATCAAACTGATAAAGTTACCGTTGGGCCTCTAACTGGGTTGACGATAACAGGGTAGAGGATTTAGGTAAAGATCGGCCATTACTCCTCATGTGTTGAAGAGCATGGGACCACATGGTGTTCATGAAATTAGGAACTATATACAGTGGGCTCCAAAATTACTGGCACCCCTGACTGGCAATGCACAAACAATACTTTAAAAAATATAAACAATATAATTATAGAGAAACTCAAAATACCAACATGTGAGAAATACTGTACTAAATTAATGTTCCAATGGAACCCACCAAAAATCATTTATTGATTAAATTAAAAATCAATGTCCTCCAAATCAAGGTTTCACAATTAATGGCACCCTTAAAGATTATTGTAAATAACATCTACCAAAATTAAACCAGGAATTAAATTCCACTTATTTAAGTTTATCTAAGTCTTAAGGAACTATATTGAGCCATTACACATCACTTCCTGTTTCACTAGGGTATAAAAATGAGGTAACACACATGCAATATCCCTTTGGCATCCAACACCATGAAGAAAACAAATGAACTGGCAGTTCAAAAGAGACAGATGGTTGTAGACCTTCATAAATCTGGTAATGGGTACAAGAAGATCCACAAACTATTGAATATACCACTGAGCACTGTCAGGGCAATATTTAAAAATTAAAAAGATATGGAACAGTTGAAAACCTCAGGATAGGTAGGAGGATGGTGAGAGAAGCAACAAAATCCACAAGAATAACTGTGAAAGAATTGCAGGCCTTGGTGGCGTCTTGGGGTCACCAGGTTTCAAAAAGCACCATCAGACGCCACCTCCACAACCACAGGCTCTTTGAAAGGGTTGCCAGAAGAAAGGCCTTTCTGACCCCAAGACACAGACGCAAACGCTTGGAGTTTGCCAAACGTCATTTAAATTATGACTGGAAGAAGGTGCTCTGGTCAGATGAGACCAAAATTGAACGTTTTGGTCAGATACAGCATCGGCATGTTTGGCGTCGAAACAGAGATGCATACGAGGAGAGGTACCTCATACCCACGGTGAAATATGGTGGTGGGTCAGTGATGTTTTGGGGCTGTTTTAATTCCAGCGGTCCAGGGGCACTGGTTAAGATTGATGGCATAATGAATTCCACCAAGTATCAGGCAATTTTGGCTGACAATCTGGTTGCCTCTGCCAGAAGGCTGGGACTTGGCCGTAGGTGGACTTTCCAACAAGACAATGACCCAAAACATACCTCAAGATCCACACAGAAATGGTTCTGTGACAACAAAATCAATGTTCTGCCATGGCCATCTCAGTCGCCGGACCTCAATCCAATCGAAAATCTGTGGGCTGAGTTGAAGAGGGCAGTTGATAAGCGCAAACCCAAGAATGTGAAGGATCTTGAAATGATCTGCATAGAGGAATGGTCCAAAATCCCTCCAAATGTGTTCCTTAACCTTGTTAAACATTACAGGAAAAGACTCCATGCTGTTATCCTTGCCAGAGGTGGTTGCACTAAGTACTAAATGATGAGTGCCAATAATGATGAAACCTTGATTTTGGTGACATTTATTTTGTATTAAATAATTGTATGATTTTGGTTGATTCCATTGAAACATTAATAAAGTACAGTATTTCTCACATTTTTATTTTTATTTAACCAGGTAAGCCAGTTGAGAACAAGTTCTCATTTACAACTGCGACCTGGCCAAGATAAAGCAAAGCAGTGCGATAAAAACAACAACACAGAGTTACATATGGGGTAAACAAAACATAAAGTCAAAAATACAACAGAAAATATATATACAGTGTGTGAGAATGTAGTAAATTATGGAGGTAAGGCAATAAATAGGCCATAGTGCAAAATAATTACAATTTAGTATTAACACTGGAATGATAGATGTGCAAGAGGTGATGTGCAAATAGAGATACTGGGGTGCAAATTAGCAAAATAAATAACAATATGGGGATGAGGTAGTTGGGTGGGCTAATTTCAGATGGGCTGTGTACAGGTGCAGTGATCGGTAAGGTGCTCTGACAACTGATGCTTAAAGTTAGTGAGGGAGATGAGAGTCTCCAGTTTCAGAGATTTTTGCAGTTCGTTCCAGTCATTGGCAGCAGAGAACTGGAAGGACTGGCGGCCAAAGGAGGTGTTGGCTTTGGGGATGACCAGTGAGATATACCTGCTGGAGTGCATACTATGGGTGGATGTTGCTATGGTGACCAATGAGCTAAGATAAGGCGGGATTTGCCTAGCAGTGATTTATAGATGACCTGGAGCCAGTGGGTTTGGCGACAAATATGTAGTGAGGACCAGCCAACAAGAGCGTACAGGTCACAGTGGTGGGTAGTATATGGGGCTTTGGTGACAAAATATGGGGCGGCAGGTAGCTTAGTGGTTAAGAGCGTTGTGCCAGTAACCGAAAGGTCGCTGGTTCTAATCCCCGAGCCGACTAGGTGAAAAATCTGTCGATGTGCCCTTGAGCAAGGCACTTAACCCTAATTGCTCCTGTAAGTCGCTCTGGATAAGAGCGTCTGCTAAATGACTAAAATTTAAATGTAAAACGGATGGCACTGTGATAGACTACATCCAATTTGCTGAGTAGAGTGTTGGAGGCTATTTTGTAAATGACATCGCCGAAGTCAAGGATCGGTAGGATAGTCAGTTTAACGAGGGCATGTTTGGCAGCATGAGTGAAGGAGGCTTTGTTGCGAAATAGGAAGCCAATTCTAGATTTAACTTTGGATTGGAGATGCTTAATGTGAGTCTGGAGGGATAGTTTACAGTCTAACCAGACACCTAGGTATTTGTAGTTGTCCACATACTCTAGGTCAGACCCGCCGAGAGTAGTGATTCTAGTCGGGTGGGCGGGTGCCAACAGTGTTCGATTGAAGAGCATGCATTTAGTTTTACTAGTGTTTAAGAGCAGTTGGAGGCTACGGAATGAGTGTTGTATGGCATTGAAGCTCGTTTGGAGGTTTGTTAACACTGTCCAATGAAGGGCCAGATGTATACAAAATGGTGTTGTCTGCGTAGAGGTGGATCTGAGAGTCACCAGCAGCAAGAGCGACATCATTGATATACACAGATAAAAGAGTCGGCCCGAGAATTGAACCCTGTGGCACCCCCATAGAGACTGCCATAGATCCAGGCAACAGGCCCTCCGATTTGACACATTGAACTCTGAGAACTGAGAAGTAGTTGGTGAACCAGGCGAGGCAGTTATTTGAGAAACCAAGGCTATTTAGTCTGCCAATAAGAATGCGGTGGTTGACAGAGTCGAAAGCCTTGGCCAGGTCGATGAAGACGGCTGCACAGTACTGTCTATTATCGATCGCGGTTATAATATCGTTTAGGACCTTGAGTGTGGCTGAGGTGCACCCATGACCAGCTCGGAAACCGGATTGCATAGCGGAGAAGGTACGGTGGGATTCGAAATGGTCGGTGATCTGTTTGTTAACTTGGCTTTCAAAAACTTTCGAAAGGCAGGGCAGGATGGATATAGGTCTGTAACAGTTTGGATCTAGAGTGTCACCCCCTTTGAAGAGGGGGATGACCGCGGCAGCTTTCCAATATCTGGGGATCTCAGATGTTACGAAAGAGAGGTTGAACAGGCTAGTAATAGGGGTTGCGACAATTTCGTCTGCTAATTTTAGAAAGGGTCCAGATTGTCTAGCCCAGATGATTTGTAGGGGTCCAGATTTTGCAGCTCTTTCAGAACATCAGCTGTCTGAATTTGTGTGAAAGAGAAGCGGGGGGGGCATGGGCAAGTTGCAGTGGAGGGTGCAGAGCTGGTGGCCGGGGTAGTGGTAGCCAGGTGGAAAGCATGGCCAGCCGTAGCAAAATGCTTGTTGAAATTCTCGATTATTGTAGATTTATCTGTGGTGATAGTGTTTCCTAGCCTCAGTGCAGCTGGGAGGAGGTGCTCTTATTCTCCATAGTGCTACAGGATGTAAATTTCTGTTTGAAAAAGTTAGCCTTTGCTTTCCTAACTGCTTGTGTATATTGGTATTTTGTGTTTCTCTATAATTATATTGTTTATATTTGTTAAAGTATTGTTTGTGCATTGCCAGTCAGGGGTGGCAGTAATTTTGGAGCCCACTGTATATGTTCCACACATAATTAAAGTTTAATCAAATAAAAATGTTCCTAGCATTAATTGAGCGAACAGAGTTAATGTGTTGAGATCGACCTCCTCAGTCAAATATGATAAAACAATTATAAATAGACCAAAAAGAGAGAGAATACTTACTTCCCTTTCCACCATGTTGTTCAGAAGACCCAATCGACGTCAACTGCTGTAAATCATTTAAGTTGGTGGAATGGTCCATTATTTTAAAGGGGTAATTTGTTTGCATAAGGGTTGGCCTTAAAAATGAGGGACAGATGTGAATGCATCACTAATCACATGAATATACATAATCATCTTCAGAAATGACTGTCAAAGCAGCAAAAATAACTAGACCTTTACAATGATGGTGAAACTTTGAGATATTTTTGGATTAAGTGGGTTGAAATCTTCCTAGAAGTGGAACAGGGTTGATGGAGGGACATGTCAAAATGCTGAATTTTGGAACGTTAGCAAGCCTTTATTCATCTAAAAAATCTGATTTATTGAATTCTCGTTGTGGTCTAAATTAAAGTGCACTTCATTTACAGGTTTTTAAAATGCAATATTGGTGCATCATTTCTACTTAAAATATCAAAGGGACACAAAAGGCACCCATTTCGTGAAACGACCCTAGGGTCAGGGTCAGTTCGTCAAGGTGTCCTCATTCATGTGATCAAACCCTCAACTTGAGTGAGCTGTTCTATGTTTAGTATTTGTGACTGCAATAGAAGCACAAGCAGTCTCCTTTGGTACTTACTTAGAGAAATTATAGGAATTAAACTTATACAGGAATGAGCCTCTGTTGTACAGATATACTGTAGGTGTTACTGTTTTTGTGTGCATGCTAGGGTGTCCAGGTGTACATGGGGGGCCTTATATTTTAATGGTCTGACTTGTATTAGGGTTGGAGGGTGTCTGTGTATGTGTGTGCGTGTTTGTGGCTGTGAAAGGGAATGTCAATGCAGGGGGTTTGTGAGTGAGCTGTCTGCATGTTTAAAGACCTCATACCAACACCAACCACCTCTCAATCTCAACAACCTCTTAAATGTGTCACATATTCTTGAAAGATTGACTTAATCCAATGTCCAGTTCGTCACTGCATGGGGAGCCTTTGCCTCTATTGTGTGGTCATTTGGACTGTGTGCCATGTAGTGTTAAGAAGACCCAGTTCAGACTGAGCAACTACAGGTATCCCTGCCATTACATGTAGCCTCATATGGGACAGGGAAAGATTTGGTGTATGATTATTGTGCTTATTGTGTATGATGCTACATGAATGTCTTTATTTGAATGGAATTTATTGAGATGCTGGATATAGATATATATCTATATGTATATTGTTGTAACATGTATATTATTGGTGTGCTAAGGATGTGCTTTTTTTACTGTCTCCATCTTTTACATCTTAATAAAAAATCATCAACTCCTAGTGTCTTCAGTCACTCTACCATATAAAACGCTTTAGATATCAGGGAGTAACGTTTTATACACCACGCTCTCACTGCACTCATGAAGAAATGGCCTTTGCATTCTACAAATTGTGAACAGACACACAAACGCACACAATTGGCACAAAAATGTAATGTCCATTCTAAAATGAAATATTTGCATTTGTATGCGATGTTGAATGTAATATTGCAGTATTCCCATGAGACTTTAATTTCTTATTTACAGCAGTTCCTGCATCCAAAACTCAACGTTGGTGTGACCACGCCACCTAGCGGGCCACTTGCATAATGTACACAAATCGTTCTGGTGACGTAGATAGTGACTTTCCATGTGTACGGAAGTTGACTGCATGAAGCAGACATCTCTAAAGCTGTATGTAGTGAGGTCTGGTCATACGAGCCACCAGAAAAGACAAATGGCACTAAAATTAGTACAGATTCATACTTCATAACGCACTTACTGTATGTATCTGTGAGTCTGCTCCTTTTCACAGTGCACCTTCTGGAGGAAACTTGTCATACAGCCAGTAACCCTCAAATGAGGAGGGCTAGCTAGCTAGCTGCACGATGAGTTCCCAAGATATGTTGAAGAATGCCTCCACTCTCGCATCATACAATGTCTTGCTTCAGGTAAAGTAGCTAGCTATTATAATTAGCTATGTCATACTCATTTTTGCACTTGATGACAATAGTGTCCTTGCTAAAATTCCTTATATCCACACCCTCAGAGTAACATGTGGAGGACATGCTTTTAAGGTAGTTGTAGAAGAAATATCCTTTTATGTAGCAATTTTTCTGAATGCCTAGATTGTGTAGCAGTTGTTAATTAGATTAGTGTGTGTGTGTGTTGTCCTAAGGCATTGAGTAATACAATATTCAAGTAGCAGAAAGACATCCACATGTTACATGACTGATTACATTTCTACCCATTGCATATCTATCTATGTGCATAGTGAATATGTTCCTGGTGATTTTTAGGTCATGTTTCGTGTGCTCACCTTTTTGCTGAACGCATTCACGCTGCGCTTTGTGTCCAAAGAGCTGATTGGCGTGGTCAACGTCAGGTAAGATTGTTTTACTCTTGGGCAATTCCATGATAAGAGTGATGCTGGGATTCAGATTTTTCACTTTAAAATGTATGCCAAACAAAAAACAATGATATCAAAGTTAAACAAACCATACAACTCTATGCACAAGGACGACTTTGAACAATTTCCACTGAAACTTTTACAAAAACACATTTACTTGAAGAACAGTGCAGAAGCAAAGTTTAGTGAGTTGTGTGGTTTGTTTAACTTTGCAATCATTGGTTTTGGTTTGACATACATTTTAAAGTGGAAAATCTGAGTCTCAGCATCAGTCTGTTACTGTGGAATTGCCTTCTGTTTAATATTACACCTGCTGCAATATGAGCTGTCCAAACCTGCAGTTAAACAAAAACTAACACCACTACATACTGTGTGTGCATGTGTGTTTGCACGTGTGTGTGTGTGCAGGTTGACACTGCTGTACTCCACGCTGGTCTTCTTGTCCAGAGAGGCCTTCAGGAGAGCCTGTTTGAGTGGCGGAACAGATCACAACTGGAGACAAGTAATCAACCTGCTATGGCTGACGTGAGTGTGACTATAGGGGAGCAACTGCTGCACAGTGTTGAATGGCTCTGGTCAGAACATACACAGTTGGGTCTTTCATCAGCACTATCTACACAACTTATGATTGTGTGTGTGTGTCATCCTCCCAGGTTGCCGCTGGGTGTACTATGGGCATCTCTCCTGGTGTGTGTGTGGCTGTGGCTCCTGGAGGTTCCAGATCCCCTGACTATCCCCCACTACGGCCCCGCTGTGGGGCTCTTTGCCCTGGCCGCACTGCAGGAGCTGCTGGCTGAGCCTCTCTGGGTCCTGGCTCAGGCCCACATGTTTGTCAGGCTGAAGGTGGTTGCTGAGAGCCTGGCCATGGTGGCTAAGTGTGTTCTGACAGTGGTGCTGGTGGTCTCTGCTCCTCAGTGGGGGCTCTACATCTTCTCTGCTGCTCAGGTACATACGCACACAGCCCCGTCCTTTACACAATGATCTTATGTTTGTCTATTTAGCGCAAGCGGTTACCCACCTTTTGCAGAAAAAATGCATTGAAAGTATAGGCAGCATTACTTAATTCACCGCAATCAGTATTTACCCACTTTTTTTTAAAACCACTACATCACTGGTTACAAGGGAGTATGGTTAGAGGGTGTGTGCATAGATGGTATTGTCAAAAAGATGAAGTGGTCACGGAGTAAGGTTGTGTTAGTAAATATTAATCTGTATATGTGGAGATGGTATTGCATGCAATCCTCATAAATCACTGTGGACGAGTGTCTACTAAGCTAACTGTTATACTGGCCTGTCCTTCGTAGCTGGTGTACACAGGGTTCCTGGTGCTGTGCTACATTGTCTACTTCCTGCGTTTCCTGGGCTCTGGGGAGGCCAACAGGAAGTTCTTCCCCCTGCGGCGTGTGGCAGACCTGCTGCCCTCCAGAGTTGAAGGAGAGGTAACATTCACCACAACAGCCATAACCCTGTCACTCACAGCATATACTCCTCACTGAGCTAGTATACAGTATACCCGAAAGCAATTGGTCGTATTAACTGACATAAATAAATTATAAATTGATTGTTTGGTTAATTCATTCATTCTTCCATATACTATGTCAGGTCACAATTGTGTGTGCTATGTCATACCGCTGTGTGTGTGTCTGTAGCCTGTGATTGACTGGACGTTGGCCAGGCTGACGTGGAGCTTCTTCAAGCAGTCGTTCCTGAAGCAAATCCTGACGGAGGGCGAGCGTTATGTCATGACCTTCCTCAACGTGCTGAGCTTCGGGGAGCAGGGCGTGTACGACATTGTCAACAACCTGGGCTCAATGGTGGCCCGTTTCATCTTCCTGCCCATCGAGGAGAGCTTCTATGTCTTCTTCGCCAAAGTCCTGGAGAGGGGGCGGGACGTCAGGCAGCAGAAACAGGTCAGAGGGAAGAGTCAGGCAATCAAAACATGTCACTCATTTCACCATTTGTCAGTGGCCAATGATAAATAAAGTTGTCTGACACACACACGATAGCTCATGCAGGTGCATTGATGCCGCTTGCTGATTGGTCTGCAGGATGAGGTTGCCATAGCAGCTGAAGTTCTGGAGTGTCTGCTGAAGCTGGTGCTTGTGATTGGCCTGATCATCACAGTGTTTGGTTACGCCTACTCTCACCTGGCTCTGGACATCTATGGGGGATCTCTACTGAGCAGTGGTGCAGGTGAGTCAACTAACCAAGTGAGTCAACCACCATAGTATAATATAATATATAATAATATAATATAGTCAACTGAATCACTGGAGTTATAGAGAGATAAAGGAACTCATTCAGCAATTATTTGAATAATCTAATTCCTCAAGCTATTGGTTTTATGTGAGTGGTTGTGTGTAATGATATGTGTGTTAAATTGAAGGGCCCAGTCTGTTGCGATGCTACAGCTCCTATGTGCTCCTGCTGGCCATTAATGGAATTACTGAGTGCTTTGTCTTTGCTGCCATGAGCAAGGAAGAGGTTGACAGGTGAGAGAAGGCAGGTACACACACACACACACACACACAGTGTGTATCAGGTTGCTAACGTTGCTCTCTCGTCTGTCCCCAGGTATAACCTGGTGATGTTGGCTCTGTCTATCTCCTTCCTGCTCCTATCCTACATGCTGACGTGGTGGGCAGGGGGCATTGGCTTCATCCTGGCTAACTGTCTGAACATGGGCCTGCGTATCCTCCACAGCCTGTTCTTCATCCACCGCTACTTCCTGTCCAGCCAGTGGACGCCTCTGCGCGGCCTGAGGCCCTCCCCTCTTCTGCTGCTGGCTCTGGCTCTCAGTGCAGTCCTCACTGCCATCTCTGAGGTACCACACTATAACTGCTCTCCTCACTGCTTTACTGTACACACCAGAGGAGGCTGGTGGGAGGAGCTATACGAGTATGGGCTCATTGTAATGGAATAAAAGGAGCGGAGTCAAACATGGTTTCCATATGTTTGATGTGTTTGACACGTTCCATTAATTCCATTCTAGCCATTACAATGAGCCTGTCCCCCTATAGCTCCTCCCACCAGCCTCCTCTGGTACACACCACATACTGTATACACCAGCCAATCACATGTCAGCCAATCACACTTAAGTCTGTCACTCACATTTAATAAAACAGTTATTGTTTCTCCCTTACAATCATAGAAATGGGAGTTAGGATACAAACTATACAGTGGGGGAAAAAAGTATTTAGTCAGCCACCAATTGTGCAAGTTCTCCCACTTAAAAAGATGAGAGAGGCCTGTAATTTTCATCATAGGTACACGTCAACTATGACAGACAAATTGAGATTTTTTTTCTCCAGAAAATCACATTGTAGCATTTTTAATGAATTTATTTGCAAATTATGGTGGAAAATAAGTATTTGGTCACCTACAAACAAGCAAGATTTCTGGCTCTCACAGACCTGTAACTTCTTCTTTAAGAGGCTCCTCTGTCCTCCACTCGTTACCTGTATTAATGGCACCTGTTTGAACTTGTTATCAGTATAAAAGACACCTGTCCACAACCTCAAACAGTCACACTCCAAACTCCACTATGGCCAAGACCAAAGAGCTGTCAAAGGACACCAGAAACAAAATTGTAGACCTGCACCAGGCTGGGAAGACTGAATCTGCAATAGGTAAGCAGCTTGGTTTGAAGAAATCAACTGTGGGAGCAATTATTAGGAAATGGAAGACATACAAGACCACTGATAATCTCCCTCGATCTGGGGCTCCACGCAAGATCTCACCCCGTGGGGTCAAAATGATCACAAGAACGGTGAGCAAAAATCCCAGAACCACACGGGGGGACCTAGTGAATGACCTGCAGAGAGCTGGGACCAAAGTAACAAAGCCTACCATCAGTAACACACTACGCTGCCAGGGACTCAAATCCTGCAGTGCCAGACGTGTCCCCCTGCTTAAGCCAGTACATGTCCAGGCCCGTCTGAAGTTTGCTAGAGTGCATTTGGATGATCCAGAAGAGGATTGGGAGAATGTCATATGGTCAGATGAAACCAAAATATAACTTTTTGGTAAAAACTCAACTCGTCGTGTTTGGAGGACAAAGAATGCTGAGTTGCATCCAAAGAACACCATACCTACTGTGAAGCTTTGGGGCTGTTTTTCTGCAAAGGGACCAGGATGACTGATCCGTGTAAAGGAAAGAATGAATGGGGCCATGTATCGTGAGATTTTGAGTGAAAACCTCCTTCCATCAGCAAGGGCATTGAAGATGAAACGTGGCTGGGTCTTTCAGCATGACAATGATCCCAAACACACCACCCGGGCAACGAAGGAGTGGCTTCGTAAGAAGCATTTCAAGGTCCTGGAGTGGCCTAGCCAGTCTCCAGATCTCAACCCCATAGAAAATCTTTGGAGGGAGTTTAAAGTCTGTGTTGCCCAGCGACAGCCCCAAAACATCACTGTTCTAGAGGAGATCTGCATGGAGGAATGGGCCAAAATACCAGCAACAGTGTGTGAAAACCTTGTGAAGACTTACAGAAAACATTTGACCTGTGTCATTGCCAACAAAGGGTATATAACAAAGTATTGAGAAACTTTTGTTATTGACCAAATACTTATTTTCCACCATCATTTGCAAATAAATTAATTAAAAATCCTACAATGTGATTTTCTGGATTTTTTTTCCTCGTTTTGTCTGTCATAGTTGACGTGTACCTATGATGAAAATTACAGGCCTCTCTCATCTTTTTAAGTGGGAGAACTTGCACAATTGGTGGCTGACTAAATACTTTTCTTCCCCACTGTATATCTATTCTTATCACATACTCAGAGAGAATAGTGAGACAGATTGTCTTATCTCTTTATGTATTTATTTACCATAAAATTGGATTTCCCATCTGTCTGTACTCTGCTGTTTCAGGGTGTGTTCTGTTGTGACGGAGGATGGTTACTGAGGCTGGTTCACATCGCCGTGGGGGCCTGGTGTCTACTGGGTGTACTTGTCACTGTCATTCTCACAGAGACAAAACTCGTTCAGTTTGTTCGGACTCAGCTCTTACCTCGCTATGGGAAGAAACACACCTAAACCTGCCCAGCAGAGGAGTAACCTGCCAGCTATAATGGCAGAGAGGAAAGGAGAGAGAGACAGAATGAACAGAATGGTAGAAGGATAGATAGAGCTGAAGATAGTGACTTGGAGGGGAATGTGGAAACCGCTGCAATCCTAAGTGACCCTGTCATGGACTGAGGGTGAAGTTGGAATGAGCAGCTCACTGGCCAAAAATGGTTTACCGGTAATTGTTTCTGAATGTGTGTGTATCTCTGTGTGTGTGTACAGTCAGGTCAAAAAATATTGGCACCATTGATAAAGATGAGCAAAAAATACTGTATAAAATAATAATTACAAATACTGAGCTATATTGTGTGCCCACATTTTTGGGAAAATTATATAATAATACAATTGCTCAGAGAAAGAGATTTTGTTTAACAATGGGTTTTTTTCTCAAAGAGATTGTGGTCAATACTCCAGCACCCTCCCCTTGCAAGGATTATGGCACTGAGTAATTTTCTAAAATGTTTTATGAGATTGGGAGGAATCTTAGACCATTCCTCCATACAGAATCTTTCCAGATCCTTGATATCCTTCATCTGCTGTTATGGACTGCCCTCTTCAATTCAAGCCACAGGTTTTCAATGGGGTTCAAGTCTAGAGACTGAGATGGCCATTGCAAAATGTTGATTTAGTGTTCAATTAACCATTTTTATTGTGGATTTTGATGTGTGCTTGGGGTTATTGTCTTGCTGGAAAATCCACTTGCAGCCAAGTTTCAGCCTCCTGGCAGAGGCAACCAGGGTTTTGGCTAAAATGTCCTGGTACTGGGTGCAGTTCATGATGCCGTTGGGGCCCCAGAACCAGTGGAAGCAAAATAGCCCCATAACATCAATGATCCACCACCATATTTTACAGTAGATAAGGGGTTATTTTCTGCAGATGCATCTATCTTTCGACACCAAACCCTCACTGGTGTGCGTGGCCAAAGAGCTCTATTTTCATCTCATCTGATCATAGCACTGGTTCCATTCTAAATGCGTTTAGCAAACTCCAGGCGTTTACATTTATTGGATGACATGAAAATAGAGCTCTGTGTGTCAGTGTGTGTACAGTATGAGCAAACACTGAAACACTGTTAAACCTGCACATTATTGTTTTTATTTTTTATGTAACCTGCTTGAGAGGTAGGCTATTTTAGATTTTGATAAATAAAAACACAGGTGGATTTTGACTAATTGTTAATTGTAGCCTAGGCCAGATTAGTTACAGTGTATTAGGGCATCTTGTCCCATATCATTGTGTAAAAAACATTGCTAATTTACACTACATGGCAGCGAATATTGTCTAGTATCAATTAATCATTGAAATTCAATGGAAGTAATTGCATCGCGTTTCCCGCCACCCCACATGCATCCCTTTGCATGTTGTTGCCATGGAAACGGAGCAGTCAGACCTACTTACTGCAGGAGCCCACACTGCGAGGAAAAAAGGCTATGGAATCCAAAAAGTCCAACCTGGTCTTTTGGCCTACAAAATTAGACTGATAAAAAAAAAAATGGGAACCTACTCTTTTGGCCTACACAATTAGACTTTGATTTAAAAGAACATGGGGGGGGGGTACAGACGAAAAGTTGCAATTATGATAGAGAATTAATGCAGAAAAAAGATCTCTAGATAGTTCTGTATTGAATTGCATTTTTTCAATTAACTAGTGCTTTATTGCATGGCTCACGACGACTGGCTGTGTAGGCCTGTTTTCTTTATGCTTTATCCTTGACCGGTCCGCGCGTCGTTGTTTGTGGCAGGATATAAATTCAATTGATTTAGATATGCTTTTGTAATTTAAACAAAGACAACACAATGTTTTCCCTCTAATCGCTCAAATACATTAACAAGTCCATCGGTGCGGGACGCCTCTTGACAGCCCCAGGTTGAGAAAGTGAATGATCGAGCATGCGCAGTTGAGGTTCGTGCCATATTGGAACGAGGCAGAGGACAGGAGAGCGAGACGGGGGCAACGTTTTAAATTTACTAGGAAGAACTAGAAAAGGTGAGATTCACGTACGTGGACGAAATACTTAGCTATTATTTATTATGTACTATTTTCAGCTGCCTTGGTGGCTCCCGTGTGTTTTTTCCTGGTGTCAAATAAGCTGTTTAGTGCTCGATTGAGTAGGCAGCGCCATACCCATACTTGACATTTCAGTTGTTAACTTGCTCGTGGTCAGTGGAAACGGTGCACCAGCTTCGCGCGCCCGATCAATTTCCTAGCACTGACTTTTATATCCACGATCAACATTGTAAACCCGTCATTGGCAAGACAGATTTTGTTATTCTCCTCTTCTCTTTTAAATGTTGTCAATTCAATTTTACTTGACCCCAATATAACATTGAAAGTTGGGGTGGGCGCATGATGCCTTTGCCTGCAAGATTGTGTCAACAGTAGATTGCAATATTGCTGATGCTGACAAACTATCATAAGTCTGACTAGCTTTTTCTAGATTAGTGTTTTATCTGATGTTTGTTTAGCTTGCCATTGGAAGCAACCTGATGTAACGTTGTAAACATTTGTAACATTGTAGCTATTACACAGTATAGCCTATTACACTGTTTCACTGTAGTCTGTGGCTGGCTATATGTGACCAATGAAATCATTGTATGTGACCAATACTATATTTACTGTTTTTTACAGGACTTTTCACAACCAAATATTAAGATATTATGTGTAGGCTGGCATTAGCATTTTTGTGCTGAGTCTGACATGGTCAACCAACCCCTTTTCTGAGATAGGAAGAAGATCTCTTTCAGCTACTGGCGGGAACACCTGTTGAGAGGCAGAGGCTGCTAGGGGTGCAATTTATAACCTCAAAAGTGCAGACTCCACACGCATTGCAATCACATCCCATGGTCATTTGATATGACTTCCTAAGGATCCCACATGGGAAAGGGACAGCTTTCCAAATGCAACTCCTCTTAACCTACCAAAATCTAAATGATTGCTAACCTTTTTTAGACTTGGAACTGTATAAGTGTGTAATATGTGAGATCTAAAGGCCACTGAGTACCAGGCCCTAAACAGATGTAGTTCTACAGAGGTGTTTATTTAACGTCCTGTCTTTGTATCTTTTTCAGTTGGATCAAAGTGGTTTTAGCTACTGCTAATACAGTCTCCTGGGTGGTGTTGGGAACACAGTGGGGGCATCATGAACCCCAAGACACAGGAATCTGGTGAGTCTCACAATGGTTGAATGGCAGAGGTGTATTCAGATTATATTTCTGTCTTTGTAAATTAGTTTGTGTTTGTCTTTCAGAAGAGGGCTCTGAACTGGAGTCTGACTTCAACTGGGATGAATATCTGGAGGAGAATGGAGTATTGGCGGTTCCACATCACGCCTTCAAACATGTATGTCTTATTTCACTGTATCAGGGCCCATTTGCAGATATGGTACTTATATTTAGGGCCCAGAGCTTTTCATTGTCAGGGCCCTATTTATTGTATATCCACATACACACCCTTCCCTCCCTCTCAGGTGGACCATAGCCTGCAGACAGGGCTGGCCCCAGGGATGAGTCTGGAGGTGTGTGTGCGTTCGGAGGCTGACCAACCCTACTGGGTGGCCACCATCATCACCACCTGTGGCCAACTGCTGCTGCTGCGATACGAGGGTTACCATGATGACCGACGAGCAGACTTCTGGTGTGACATCATGACCTCTGACCTACACCCTCTGGGCTGGAGCAGGCAGCACGGGCAACCAATGAGACCGCCTGAGGGTGAGGAGGGGGTGACATAGGGGTTGATGGAAATATGCGTTTGTGTTGCTGTAGACCGGTTGGGCGCTGTGCTCAAATAAATGCATTGGAATACTCTGTTAAAGCTTTTCATACAGGAATTAACAGGATATAGATGTACAAAATGTATAAATGTGATGTGTGTACAGGTGTCCGTGAGAAACATGCTGACTGGGAAGCTGTCCTAGAGGAGGCTCTGGCTCAGGGAGGGAGCGCACCAGCACACCTACTGGAGGGGGTGAGTCTGGGGGAGGGAGGAGTGGGGAGGGTGGGGACACTACGACCATAACTATAGTTGGGACCTATTCAACATTACTAATCATTTCAGAACAGCTTGATTGTTTAGTATCAATAAATGTCAATATTTTCTAACATTCTCTGTGTGTGTCCAGGCCCAGACAGGAGGAGACCTGTTCCCCCCGGGGTGGTGTGTGGAGCTGCAGGACAGTGTGGACCCGGGGGTGGCCTGGGGGGCCCAGGTGGAGGACAACGTAGGGGGCCGTCTGTGTCTGCGCTACACTGGGACGGAGGGGCTCACCCAGTCACAGGCCAGGCGCTGGGTATTCTACCTGGACCCCCTCTTACACCCACCTGGCTGGGCTGAGGAGAACAGCTTCTCTCTCACCCCACCTGCTGGTAAGGAACATAACTGCCTCTGCACCTTATGGCGCTGTTGACCAACCCTGGACCTGGAAAACTACAGAGTAAACACAAATACACCTCAATCAATGAATCATCAAGATCTTGTTGAATAAGATGTGTTAATGCTGGGCTGGTTGCCTGGTGACCACTGTTGTAGTGTGTTTGTTTGGGTGCTTGTGTAAGTATTAGTGAAAGTTAGTGATAATGTCATTGTGCTGTGTTGCAGTGCTTCGTGGTTTGCGCAGTGAAACAGAGTGGGAGGAGGTGAGAAAGAACATTAGACCGCCTAAAGAAGAAGCCATCAATGAAGACTTCTTTAAGGTATTCTCTCTCTCTCTGTCTCCCCAACCCTCTTTCTGTCTCTCTCTCCCTCTGGCATATCTCCTGTGTGTGTGTTTGTAGGACAGGCCAGTCCTCTCTCCTCACTGCTTCTCTGAGGGGATGAAGTTAGAGGCAGTGGACCCCGCTGCCCCCTTCAACACCAGCCCAGCTACTGTCACCAAGGTAACGCTCACATGTCACCACAGTAACACCCCGACCTCACCTCACCTCATCCACACAGCATCCGTCATGTGGTAGGTTGCCCCTAGATGTATGGGGCTGTAACAGTGATGTCATCATTGTGTTCCCCAGGTGTTGAGCGACCAGTACTTCCTGGTGCAGATGGACAGTCTGCAGGGAGAAAGTGAGGGGGCGGGGCCTGGCTTATCCCTACTCTGTCACTATGGGAGCACCGGAATCTTCCCTGCCCAGTGGAGCCTTAAAAATGGGGTACCCCTCAGTCCCCCTCCAGGTAGGGCAGAATACACGCACCTCAGGCACTCTACTGCTCCAGTGAAATGGATCACAGAGTTTACTGTGTCCCTGGGTGTGTGGATGTGTAGGTTACCAGGGTCAGAACTTTGACTGGGCGGATTACCTGAACCAGTGTGGAGCAGAGTGCGCACCAGAGAGCTGTTTCCCTGTGGTGAGACACACAACCACACACACACACGTTTGTTTTAATATCCTTGTTGGGACCAAACAGTTGATTCCCATTCAAAATCCTATTTTCCCTAACCCTTATCCTAACTCCTAACCCTAAACCTAGCCCCTAATTCTAACCCTAATTGTAAAACTAAGCCTAAAATAGCCTTTTTCCTTGTGGGGACCAGAGAAATGTCCCCACTTGTCCGAATGTTCCTTGTTCCTTGACTTCAACCAAAAACACACACACACACACCACTCCAACTGATATGATGACAGGTGTTTTCCCCCCAGGGGCTGAGTGATCATGACTTTGTTGAGTCCATGAGGCTGGAGGCAGTGAATCCTGTCTCTCCTGAGCAAGTCCACGTGGCAACTGTAACCAGGGTCAGAGGTCAGCACATCTGGTTGCATCTGGAAGGTGAGAACAGAACAGCTGGAGGAGAGAGAAGAGGGCTGGGTTGGAGGGATGTAAGGTTTTGGGGGAGGGACAAGAATGTTGTTATCATTACGACCTATTCAATTTTGGGTGTCAATTTCAGTTACCTGAATACTCAGTGTTATTCTATTTACATATTCAATTTAGCCACATGTTCAGCCACTCATAACCTCCCCTCTGCTCTGTGTGTTCTCCCCAGGGTTGAAGCAGCCTCTGCCTGACATCATCACTCATGTGGATTCCCTGGACATCTTTCCAGTCAGCTGGTGTGAGAGTAATGGCTATCCCCTCCAGCACCCCTCCAAACCTAGAGGTCAGGGTCCAAACAAGAACCTCCTGACCATTTTGATGGTTGGTCTACACTACCGGTCAAAAGTTTTAGAACACCTACTCGTTCAAGGGTTTTTCTTTAAATAAATGTCAGACAGTGTCACCAGCAAAGTACCCCCACACCATAACACCTCCTCTTCCATGCTTTACGGTGGGAAATACAAATGTGGAGATCATCCGTTCACCCACACCACATCTCACAAAGACACGGCGGTTGGAACCAAATATCTCCAATTTGGACTCCAGACCAAATGACAAATTTCAACAGGTCTAGTGTCCATTGCTCATGTTTCTTGGCCCAAGCAAGTCTCTTCTTCTTATTGGTGTCCTTTAGTAGTGGTTTCTTTGCAGCAATTCGACCTTGAAGGCCTGATTCACACAGTCTCCTCTGAACAGTTGATGTTGAGATGTGTCTGTTACTTGAACTCTGTGAAGCATTTATTTGGGCTGCAATCTGAGGTGAAGTTAACTCTAATGAACTTATCCTCTGCAGCAGAGGTAACTCTGGGTCTTCCATTCCTGTGGCAGTCCTCATGAGAGCCAGGTTCATCATAGCGCTTGATGGTTTTTGCGACTGCACTTGAAGAAACTTTCAAAGTTCTTGAAATGTTCCGTATTGACTAAAATGTAAGAAGGCACACCTGTTAATTGAAATGCATTGGTTGAGAGAATGCCAAGAGTGTGCAAAGCTGTCATCAAGGCAAAGGGTGGCTATTTGAAGAATCTCAAACATAAAATATATTTTGATTTGTTTAACACTTTTTTGGTTACTACATGATTCCATATGTGTTATTTTATAGTTTTGATGTCTTCACTATTATTCTACAATGTAGAAAATAGTAAAAAATAAAGAAAAGCCCTTGAATGAGTAGGTTTTATAAACCTTTTGACCGGTAGTGTATATCAGTGTTTTATCTGAATGTTACTGGCAGGTGTAGATGTTGACTTTTGTACCTCTTCTGTTGCAGCTCAGAGGAAGAGCCGTGTGGCCGTGGTGCAACCAGAGAAGCAGTGAGTTTTGCAGACCTTGAATATTACGGAGAGAGGGAATAGAAATCAAAAGCTAAACTTACCTCTACTGTTAACCAACTTTGTGACGTGTTAGTTTATTTTTAACTGTATGTTTATTTGGGTTTGATCTGATGGCAGATCTCCACTTAAAGCCACGCCCCCTGATACAGCAAGGCAGCAGGATCTGAGCCAATTGGAGAGCGGTGAGTGTAATTCCTTGTGAAAAATAATTGGTACAAAAATAATGCAAATGAGAAAATCTTACGTGTGTGTGACTGTCTATGTCAGCAGCTAACGGGAAGTATAGCTGCCCAAAGATCTACTTCAACCACCGCTGTTTCTCTGGCCCCTACCTGAACAACGGCCGCATCGCTGAGCTGCCCCAGAGCATCGGCCCCGGCAACTGTGTCCTGGTGCTGAAAGAGGTGAACAAGAGAGCAGCACACCTCTACCAGCTCCTCTCTATCTTACACTCGCACAACTGTAGATGACAACTCACTGTTATCCACATACAGATACATATTCTATTTAATGATGTGCTGTATCCTACCATATAATCTTCAATGTCTTTCTAACCCCCCCTGTATCCTCTCCTGTCCTGTGGTCCAGGTGTTAATAATAACACTGACTTGGCCTAAAGCATTGTTCCCTGGCTCTGCTTATAGCTAATGATCCCTATGAAGCAGTGCCCTAGCCCTAGCCCTAGCCCTCACCCTCCGATCCAACAGGTCCCAGACGTGCTCAATGGGATTGAGATCCGGGCTCTTCGCTGGCCATGGCAGAACACTGACATTCCTGTCTTGCAGGAAATCACGCACAGAATGAGCAGTATGGCTGGTGGCATTGTCATGCTGGAGGGTCATGTCAGGATGAGCCTGCAGGAAGGTACCACATGAGGGAGGAGGATGTCTTCCCTGTAATGCACAGCGTTGAGATTGCCAGCAATGACAACAAGCTCAGTCCGATAATGCTGTGACACACCGCCCCAGACCATGACAGACCCTCCACTTCCAAATCGATCCCGCTCCAGAGTACAGGCCTCGGTGTAACGCTCATTCCTTCGACGATAAACGCGAATCCGACCATCGCCCCTGGTGAGACAAAACCGCGACTCGTCAGTGAAGATCACTTTTTGCCAGTCCTGTCTGGTCCAGCAACGGTGGGTTTGTGTCCATAGGTGACGTTGTTGTCGGTGATGTCTGGTGAGGACCTGCCTTACAACAGGCCTACAAGCCCTCAGTCCAGCCTCTCTCAGCCTATTGCGGACAGTCCGAGCACTGATGGAGGGATTGTGCGTTCCTGGTGTAACTCGGGCAGTTGTTGTTGCCATCCTGTACCTGTCCCGTAGGTGTGATGTTCGGATGTACCGATCCTGTGCGGGTGTTGTTACACGTGGTCTGCCACTGCGAGGACGATCAGCTGTCCGTCCTGTCTCCCTGTAGCGCTGTCTTAGGTGTCTCACAGTACGAACATTGCAATTTATTGCCCTGGCCACATCTGCAGTCCTCATGCCTCCTTGCAGCATGCCTAAGACACATTCATGCAGATGAGCAGGGACCCTGGGCATCTTTCTTTTGGTGTTTTTCAGAGTCAGTAGAAAGGCTTCTTTAGTGTCCTAAGTTTTCATAACTGTGACCTTAATTGTGTACCGTCTGTAAGCTGTTAGTGTCTTAACGACCGTTCCACAGGTGCATGTTCATTAATTGTTTATGGTTCATTGAACAAGCATGGGAAACAGTGTTTAAACCCTTTACAATGAAGATCTGTGAAGTTATTTGGATTTCTATTAATTATCTTTTTTTGCTGAGTTTATTTCTGTATGCTGTAGATTTGCTCTGTTCTTGGTCACTATGTATAACACCACAGTATATGGTAGTAGTCGAGTGACACTGAGGATATACATTCTCTCTGCTGCATAAACATCATACTGGAAGAGATGCTCCCTACCACATTGGTCTCTGACAGACAGTAATGGATCAGATTCTGCTCTGGACCATGTTGTGGTGTGTAGGTACAAAGGGAAGAGTTACCGGGCCACTGTGGGGATTGCCCGTACAGCTGACCAGGTGGCTGAGTTCTGCAGGAAGATGTGTGTGAGGCTGGAGTGCTGCCCCAACCTGATCGCACCTCACATGGTGCTAGAACACTGCTCGGAGAACTGCTCCCTTCTCACCAAGACCAAATACAGTACGTGCTACCAAACACGCACACACACATACATATTTGCATACTTACACATGTGTATGCATGTACAGTACACACACACAGACACAAACACATGCAGACTTAGATTGTATTTACAATGTACTTATCAATATTTATCTATACAATACGTAAAAATTTATGCACATATGACTAAGTCGCTTTGGATAAAAGCGTCTGCTAAATGGCTAGCACTCCTGTTATTATTTTTGTGGGTCTAAAATAGTTTGCTTGGTGTATGTCTGTGTGCTCTATAGCTTATTACTATGGTAAGCAGAAGACCAAGCGAATCAGCCATCCCCCTGGCGGTCTCACTAACATGGAGAGCAGCACGAAGCAGGGGAGCAGGAGGAAGAAGAGAAAGCCCCTGTTTGTCCACAAGAAGAAACGCCTGTCTACCCCTGCTGGCTCCCCACTGGTACTGCACATTCTTACATCATTCAACTCATTCAACTGCCATTAACTTGGTCATCACAGAGAAGCTAGAAGTAGTTGCCCCTAACCATTGGTCCAGCATGCAGGGCAATCTGATTCTAGATCTGATGTTACGGGGAACTTTTATATGGAAGGAGCCAGTAATCAAACTCATAACTGTCCCCTTTCTTCCCACCCCAGGCTAGTGGAGAGGAGGAGGACCTGGATGAGGACTACTCTCTGAGTGAGGAGGACTCAGGCTCAGAGCAGCAGAATGACTCTGAGGTGTCAGAGAGGAAGTCCCAGCCCCCCTCTCCCTCCCCCTGTCCCACCCCTACAGAACCTCGCCCCCGGGACAGACCCTGTCGCCAGCGTAGGAAACCCGCCCGCTCACCCTCCTACTCAGATGATGAGAACCAGCCCACCTTACCTAAGGTAGTGGTGGTTACATAATTATACACACACACACACACACTGATCCTGGAACTATATATGTGTAACCCCCCTGTGTGTGTGTTCTGTCTCAGAGTGGGAGGGTGGAGGTGCAGGAGAAGCTGCATCTGGACAGCAGTCCTCTGGGCTGGAGCATCACTGACGTGACCCGTTTCATCAGAACTACTGACTGTGCCCCGATGGCACGCATATTCAGAGACCAGGTAGGAGTGACACACACACACACACAGCAGAAAACACACACACTTACATACTCACATACACACACGCACAGTGTGCTAATTTTCTGAGTCATGTTGTTGTGTGTGTTGACAGGAGATAGATGGCCAGGCCCTGCTGTTGCTGAGCCTGCCCACAGTACAGGAGTGTATGGGGCTGAAGCTGGGCCCTGCCATCAAACTGTGCCACCTTATAGAGAGGGTTAAACTGACCTTTTACCAGCACTTTGCCAGCTGAGGAGTGTGTGTGTGTGTGTGTGTGTGTTTGGTCTCAAGCTCATTACTAAACCAAGCCATATCATCACAACCAGCGTTATTGTAATGTACAGTATGTGCTGCTCCAGGATGGACACAGCTTATAGCCTCAGCTGTTCACCCTGGAATGTGACTGGATTCTGTATCTTTCAGGGATTTCATGTTTACAGTGCCTTCAGAAAGTATTCACACCCATTGACTTATTACACATTTTGTTGTTACAGCCTGAATTCATAATGGATAAAAAAAATAATAATAATCTCACCCATCTACACACAATACCCCATAATGACAAAGTGAAAACATGATTTTATATCTAATTTACTTAAGTATTCACACCCCTGAGTCAATACATGTTAGAATCACCTTTGGCAGCGATTACAGCTGTGAGTATTTCTGGGTACGTCTCTTAAGAGCTTTCCACACCTGGATTGTTCAATATTTGCACATTATAATTTTTTTAATTCTTTGAGCTCTGTCAAGTTGGTTGTTGATCATTGCTAGACAGCCATTTTCAAGTCTTGCCATAGATTTTCAGGCCCACTTCAGTCAAAACTGTAACTAGGCCACTCAAGAACATTTAATGTTGTCTTGGTAAGCAACTCCAGTGTATATTTGGCCTTGTGTTTTAGGTTATTATCCTGCTGAAAGTTGAATTTGTCTCCCAGTGTCTGTTGGAAAGATGACTGAACCAGGTTTTACTCTAGGATTTTGCCTGTGCTTAGCTCGATTCCATGTATTTTTATTGCAAAAAGAACGTCCTTGCCGATGACAAGCATACCCATAACATGATGCAGCCACCACCATGCTTGAAAATATGAAGAGTGATGTGTTGTGTTGGATTTTCCCCAAACATAATGCTTTGTATTCAGGACATAAAGTGAATTTATTAGCCAAATTTTTGCAGTTTTACTTTAGTGCCTTATTGCAAACAGGATGGATGTTTTAGAATGTTTTTTTTTTCTGTACTGGCTTCCTTCTTTTCACACTTGTCCTTTAGGTTAGTATTGTGGAGTAAATACAATCTTGTTGATCCAGCCTCAGTTTTCTCCTATCACAGCCATTAAACTCTGTAACTGTTTTAAAGTCACTATTGGCCTCATGGTGAAATCCCTGAGCGGTATCCTTCCTCTCTGTCAATTGAGTTAGGAAGCACGACTGTATCTTTGTAGTGACTGGGTGTATTGATACACCATCCAAAGTGTAATTAATAACTTCACCATGCTCAAAGGGATATTCAATGTCTGCTTTTTTTTTTTTTTTTTTACCCATCTACCAATAGGTGCCCTTCTTTGTGAGGCATTGGAAAACCTCCCTGGTCTTTGTGGTTGAATCTGTGTTTAAAAGTCACTGCTCGACTGAGGGACCTTACAGACAATTGTATGCGTGGGGTACAGAGATGAGGTAGTCTTTCAAAAATCATGTTAAACACGTATTGCACACAGAGTGAATCCATGCAACTTATTATGTGACTTGTTAAGAAAATGTGTACTCCTGAACTTATTGAGGCTTGCCATAACAAAGGGGTTGAATACTTAATGGCTCGAGACATTTCAGCTTTTCATTTTTAATTAATAAAATATATATATATATAAAATCATAATTCCACTTTGACATTATGTGGTATTGTGTGTAGGCCAGTGACACAAAATTTCAATGTAATCCATTTTAATTTTAGGCTGTAACAACAATAATATATGACATTTAGCAAACGCTTTTATCCAAAGTGACTTAGTCATGTATGCATACATTTTACGAACCCAAAACCCTGGCGGTGCAAGCCTCATGCTCTACCAACTGAGCCATACAGGACCACAAAATGTGGAAAAAGTAAAGGGGTGTGAATACTATATGAAGGCACTGTATGTGTTTGTTTACCATTTGTTTGTGTATGATCAGATACATAGTGGAGAGGAATTGAAAAGCACAAGATAATTGTATGGAGTCATGATGGAAATTATTTTTCATCCATCCATGACTGAGCTGTTCAGGGTATAATGAACACCCAAGGTAAAGCATGTCAACAAAATAGATCTGGATACCTGTTTAGGTACTAGTTCATCTCTTATTAATACTAAGTCCCCTCATTATGAAACAGTAAAAATATGTGAATAACAAACAGCACCTGATGTGGGGAGACACATTTGCACTATCATAGCTAGGTTTTTACATTGGTCTACAGGGTTAGGGTTATCAATTTGACTGACTTCTTCTACTTGAATATAAATAGCAGCTCAGACTTTTGGGTCCGGTTTCCCACACACAGATTAAGCCTAGGCCTAGACTAAAAAGCATGTTCAATTAAGATTCTCCATTGAAAGTGGTTCTTAGTCCAGGACTAGTCTTAATCTGTCTTTGAAATCGGCCCTTGGATTGTGATTCATTGCTTTTTAAATGCATCCTATTAGATTCTCAAGGGGTTAGGCTGTTCTTAACCTTTTCTCTTTATGATGACTGATGATTGTCACTTTAGTTGTGTGTACTATAGTAAGCCACTCGTTCTGTGTGGTCATCAGGTGTACGACAGCGTTATAAGATGGTCCTGACAATTATTGACGTCTCGGTTCATACAAATATTTGTTCAATTGTTGGGGACCTGTCTGTCCTCATTTTACCTCTTGTAAATTGCAGCTTGATCAAAGTATAAATGGACGTTTTTACAGGTATTTCTAAAGATTGAATATAAACTGCTCGAAAGCTTTTTGCAGATTGCTTTGAGTAGACTAAAACATGTCTTGATTCTTTTTTTAATGTAATGTTTTTGAGGATAATATGATACACTAATGCTATATCTAAAAAACGAACGGTACTGAAGGCAAAACTGAAGTTTTGTTAAATGTAATATTACATTTTTGTTAGTACTGTATATGGTTCAGGTTGGTTTTGTTGAAAAGAAATGTTGTGCCATGTTTGAGACATTCTCTGTTATTTATGTTAAATATCTGTTTTCACATTCCACATCCGATTGGTTTGATGGTCAATGAAAGTCTTCGTGTTTCTATTCTCGTTCACATTATCAATTACACTTGATTTTACATTCCTGTTGCTCATGTTGAAAGTAAGTGTTGGTCGTTAAAGTAAACTAAAGGGGATTCTCATGAAACAATCAAAAATGTAAATGGTTATTATTGGTTTGTGGATGTTTCCAATGTGAATATGTTTCCAGAATGATCGTTAATTAAAGTTATTGCTTTTAATACTCATAAGATGATAAACTGTGATTTTATCTTATATTTCCCGTATTGTGTAATTTGTTTAATCCCAGGAAGCTATCTTCACTGAATGATCTCATTCATATTTAGTGAAGTTAGGGTCCATCTTTGAAAACCATTGCCTAGCAGCACTGAGAATGATAACATTAGTATATTGTATTGGCTCTCAAATGGCCAGAGGGAGATGTAAGGTGGAAACAACCTCCTGTTGCTCCAGCTGTTCTCTCCATGATTCACAGTGTTAATTAAAGGTCCTACTAGGTTTTATATGGGACTTCTGTCACCGCCCCCCCCCCCCCCCATTCTGAAGAGGGACAGAAGGGAAGGGAAGAACACCTACCTCTGTTGCCATGTAAGTCATTTCTCTGCCAATGTTATTTCTTTGCCCATTGAATGATTGAGATATGGACACATACATGGTTAAGTGTTGCTCTATGTTTGACTGTATTGGTTCTCTTCCTTCCATTGATGAGTGTAAGGGTGAGATTGGTTCCTTAGGTTGTTATTGTTGACGACAGAAAGATGTCTTGAACTCATTTCCATTTTGGCCTAGTGACAGGAGAAAAGGAGGAGGGCCATGAGAGAATGTTGTCATAGTGGAGGAGGAGTTGAGTTTTAGACTTTGATTTGTGAGCTTTTATTAGTCCTTGAGGAGTTGCTTTAAAAGAAGGCCAGATCGTTCCAACAGTAGAGCAGATCACGTCATTCACTCCCTAATGATACACTCCACCCTGAGAACAAACAGAACCAGGGAATGTGAGAGAGAAGAAAGAAGGGAGGAGTCCAGTGACCCACTGAGTCATCATCTACTGGGTCTGCGAACAGAGTTATAGCCCTCTGGAGAGTTACAGGGTGTGTGTGTGTTGGGCTGGACTGTAGAGAGGGAGCAGTCATTCTGACCACAACAGCCTTTATCCAGGAGGATCATCCACTACTTCACAGTCAGTCACCATGTCTCAGGTAAGACTACAGTGCTGGACTAGGGAGGGACATGTAGAGTTATGACATGATCTCACCAAAGAGCTCACTGAAACTTGCCTAGAAAGTTTCTGCCTAGGAAACCTACTGGAGAACTCTACATGGGATTTTTTTTCCCCTCTTTTTCGGCTTTCCATTTCTTCCATCTCTTCTTCTCCAGCCTGAAGACGGGGAGGAGGGACAGCTGAAGCGTCCTGAGGTGAGCGAGGAGGATCTGATCGGAGCGAAGGATAAGCTGATCTCCAAAGGAGAGCTGAAGGGCAAGACCATAGAAGTGATGGAGGAGTGTGGTGAGCAGAGTGCCGCTTTTATTGGCATGACAATGGGATTAGGGCAGCATTTCCCAAACTCGGTGCACAGCTGATAAAAATTATCAAAGCTTGATGATTAGCTGATTATTTTAATCAGTTGTGTAGTGCTAGGGCAAAAAAACAAAATATGCACCCTTTGGGGTCCTGAGGACAGAGTTTGGGAAACCCTGGGTTAGGGGGTTAAGAATATTGGGCAGGAGTATGTAGTTAAAAAACCTCTGAAATCTGTTTGTCGTTTTTGTCGCTGATTTAAAGCGGCAATCAACAGTTGAAACTATAACAAAATATACTCCCCGCCCGTTTCGGTAAAAAGGCTGAGGGATGGGGCTGGAGAAATGTAACCAATCTCAAATTCATATACAGAGCTATGGATGCGAGGACTGGCTATCAAAATTATAGTTTGAACCATGTTGAGGCTAAATAGTGTTTGTTTACATTTATTTGTTTACAAACATTTGAATAGGACAAGCTTATATTATGGGTTATTATGGGATACGACAGTTTAATTAAGCTTGTGAGGCATTTATAAGTTATATTCTTCAAGAATCAATGGGTATATATTAATTAATAAGTTCAAGAATGGATGTAGCAACTGCTGATTGCCCCTTTAAGATTGGAAACACAAGTGTACATATAGAGAACCTGAGCTGCATTTAGACAGGTAGCTCAATTCTGATATTTCTTCCACTAATTGTTCTTTTGACCAATCAGATCTGATCTGTCAAAATACCAATTAGTGAAAAAAAAGATCAGAATTGGGCTGCCTGTCTAAACACAGCCAGTGTTATAGAACAAAAGAGGGAGTTAGAGAGTAGAGGGGGCGTTCCTTACCGTGATGAAGTTTCCACTCCATATACAGCACAGTTGAGGATGGTCAAGACAAGAGGGAGACTCACTGAACTGTCAAACACAGTGACCCTCTCCCTGCGGCATAAACTATGGATGTTTAGACATATCTACTGTATCACGTAGCTCTTCCACTTCAGAGTGATGGATGGATCTGTGTTGTGTTCACAGAGCGTGCGGGTAAAGTCGCCCCGTCTGTGTTCAGTGGAGTGCGTTCAGGGAGAGAGACCGCCTTCAACAAGCCCCAGGCTCGACAAATCAAGAAGTAGCAGAGGCAGCAAAGCCACTTCTTATACTCCAGCCTGGTCCATATAGAAAACCACACTGGTGTGACTAAATGTGCCTTTTATTAAAATCTTGAACCCTCATTCTGTCAGGAGTCTGATTGTCAAGAAAGGAGTTTAAGTGGGCATTAACTGGACCTCAGTTGAGTAGGCTGTATTGGTTCTGTGTGAATATATTTGAGCTGTTCAGCTATACACCTTTGGTGCTCATTTAGAAGTGGATGTTCTCATCATTATGCTAAGAAGCATCTCTTTGCCATTTCCAGTCCTTTACTGTATCAGTTAGCTCTAGCTAGTGCAGTCCAGTTAGTCTAACTATTCCAGTCCTTTACTGTATCAGTTAGCTCTAGCTAGTGCAGTCCAGTTAGTCTAACTATTCCAGTCCTTTACTGTATCAGTTAGCTCTAGCTAGTGCAGTCCAGTTAGTCTAACTATTCCAGCCTTTACTGTATCAGTTAGCTCTAGCTAGTGCAGTCCAGTTAGTCTAACTATTCCAGCCTTTACTGTATCAGTTAGCTCTAGCTAGTGCAGTCCAGTTAGTCTAACTATTCCAGCCTTTACTGTATCAGTTAGCTCTAGCTAGTGCAGTCCAGTTAGTCTAACTATTCCAGCCTTTACTGTATCAGTTAGCTCTAGCTAGTGCAGTCCAGTTAGTCTAACTATTCCAGCCTTTACTGTATCAGTTAGCTCTAGCTAGTGCAGTCCAGTTAGTCTAACTATTCCAGCCGTGTCTATTTGTGTATCTGATAGAATAAGTCCGCAAGCAACAATGACAAACATCTAATTTTCTGTTTTCCTTTTTATTGAACAAAATCACATTTTATTAACAACAAGCAAAGAACCGTAAAACATTTTTTTGATCAGAACATACACTACTACAGTCGATGAGGCACAGATGTGGCAGCTTGAGGGGGTCTCTGAACAAAAGGATGAGACGGCTGGAAAGAGGGATAAAATAAAGAAGAGCAGGATGAACTTTACATGAAGGAGAACGGGGAGAGAAAAAGAGACTGCCAGGGTGATGACTTTACAAACATGAGACGCTAGCCTTAAGGAAGAAAGTGAGGATGGAGGGAGGTAGAGAAGGGTGGAGGAGGGGTGTTAGTTCTTTATTTCATGAATTTGTGCTGCTGGTCCTGGAGGATCTTAGCGGAGGACTTGGCATCGTAGAAGAGTTCGTTGATCTCTTCCACCTGCTCCCGCTCTACTCCCTCCTTCCCCTGGACTCTGCCTAACAGACTGGCTGGAGTCAGCAACTGCGCCGCATACCTGACAGAGGAGAGCGGTGGGTGAGTCAATACACACACTAGAGCAGGGGTCTCTCCAACCTTTTCTAGCATGAGAGCTACTTTAAAATTATGAAAGATGTCACGAGCTACTCCATTTTTTCCCTAGCATTCAAATAGGCACTCTTTATTTTCCTAATTCCGTTTTCTCAGTTTAATTTTTCCTGGTTTGGGATTTTTGGGGGGGATTTTCACTCAAAATTACAATTATTCATAGAGAAACAATGAAATTGGATTTTTGGAATCCATGTCAATGCTTAAATCACATCAGAATACACATTTTGAGGGCTGAAAATTGCTCATTTTGCAAGAGAAGAATGTGCTGGTCTAGTGATGTCTTTGCTGCTGCATATGTCATGACAGTTTGCAAAACAAAAGTCCAGCCGATTGATACAAATAATCATGATATACACTGAGTATACAAAACATTAAGAACACCTGCTCTTTCCCTGACAGACTGACCAGGTGAATCCAGGGGAAAGCTATGATCCCTTATTGATGTCACTTGTTCAATCCACTTCAGTGTAGATGAAGGGGAGGAGAAAGATTAAAGAGGATGTTTAAGCCTTGAGACATGGATTGTGTATGTGTGCCATTCAGAGGGTGAATGGGCAAGACAAAAAACATAAGTGCCTTTGAACGAGGTATGGTAGTAGGTGCCTGGCGCACCAGTTTGTGTCAAGAACTGCAACTCTGCTGGGTTTTTCATGCTCAACAGTTTCCTGTGTGTATCTTGAATAGTCCAGATAAAAGACAGATAAAACAGGATGCACTCTCACAGCTTGATGGTGGATAGATTATACACTGCTCAAAAAAATAAAGGGAACAATTAAACAACACAATGTAACTTCAAGTCAATCACACTTCTGTGAAATCAAACTGTCCACTTAGGAAGCAACACTGATTGACAATAAATGTCACATGCTGTTGTGCAAATGGAATAGACAACAGGTGGAAATTATAGGCAATTAGCAAGACACCCCCAATAAAGGACTCGTTTTGCAGGTGGTGACCACCGACCACTTCTCAGTTCCTATGCTTCCTGGCTGATGTTTTGGTCACTTTTGAATGCTGGCGGTGCTTTCACTCTAGTGGTAGCATGAGACGGAGTCTACAACCCACACAAGTGGCTCAGGTAGTGCAGCTCATCCAGGATGGCACATCAATGCGAGCTGTGGCAAGAAGGTTTGCTATCTGTCAGCGTAGTGTCCAGAGCATGGAGGCGCTACCAGGAGACAGGCCAGTACATCAGGAGACGTGGAGGAGGCCGTAGGAGGGCAACAACCCAGAAGCAGGACCGCTACCTCCGCCTTTGTGCAAGGAGGAGCACTGCCAGAGCCCTGCAAAATGACCTCCAGCAGGCCACAAATGTGCATGTGTCTGCTCAAACGGTCAGAAACAGACTCCATGAGGGTGGTATGAGGGCCCGACGTCCACAGGTGGGGGTTGTGCTTACAGCCCAACACCGTGCAGGACGTTTGGCATTTGCCAGAGAACACCAAGATTGGCAAATTCGCCACTGGCGCCCTGTGCTCTTCACAGATGAAAGCAGGTTCACACTGAGCACATGTGACAGAGTCTGGAGACGCCGCGGAGAACGTTCTGCTGCCTGCAACATCCTCCAGCATGACCGATTTGGCGGTGGGTCAGTCATGGTGTGGGGTGGCATTTCTTTCAGCCCTCCATGTGCTCGCCAGAGGTAGCCTGACTGCCATTAGGTACCGAGATGAGATCCTCAGACCCCTTGTGAGACCATATGCTGGTGCGGTTGGCCCTGGGTTCCTCCTAATGCAAGACAATGCTAGACCTCATGTGGCTGGAGTGTGTCAGCAGTTCCTGCAAGAGGAAGGCATTGATGCTATGGACTGGCCCGCCCGTTCCCCAGACCTGAATCCAATTGAGCATATCTGGGACATCATGTCTCGCTCCATCCACCAACGCCACGTTGCACCACAGACTGTCCAGGAGTTGGCGGATGCTTTAGTCCAGGTCTGGGAGGAGATCCCTCAGGAGACCATCCGCCACCTCATCAGGAGCATGCCCAGGCGTTGTAGGGAGGTCATACAGGCACGTGGAGGCCACACACACTACTGAGCCTCATTTTGACTTGTTTTAAGGACATTACATCAAAGTTGGATCAGCCTGTAGTGTGGTTTTCCACTTTAATTTTGAGGGTGACTCCAAATCCAGACATCCATGGGTTGATAAATTTGATTTCCATTGATACTTTGTGTGATTTTGTTGTCAGCACATTCAACTATGTAAAGAAAAAAATATTTAATAAGATTATTTCATTCATTCAGATCTAGGATGTGTTATTTTAGTGTTCCCTTTATTTTTTTGAGCAGTGTATAAGGCTACTATATGGTGAGTCAAGAGCAAAATAATCCACATGATTTAGGCTACATCACTGACAATCTGAAATGGTCCACCCACACAGACAGTGTGGTGAAGGCGCAACAGCGCCTCTTCAACCTCAGGAGGCTGAAGAAATTCTGCTTGGCCCCTAAGACCCTCAAACTTTTATAGATAGATGCATCATTGAGAGCATCCTGTCAGGCTGTATCACCACCTGATACGGCAACTGCACCGTCCGCAACCGCAGGGCTCTCCAGAGGGTGGTGCGGTCTGCCCAAAGCATCACCGGTGGCACACTGCCTGCCCTCTAGGACATCTACAGCACCCGATGTCACAGGAAGGCCAAGAAGAGGACCTCAGCCACCATGGCCTGTCCACACCTGTACTGACCTCCAGAAGGTGAGATCAGTACAGGTGCATCAAAGCTGGGACAGAAAGACTGAAAAACAGCTTCTATCTCCAGGCCATCAGACTGTTAAATAGTCACCACTAGCCAGCCTCCGCCCAGTACCCTGCCCTGAACCTTAGTCACTGTTACTAGCCAGCTGTCACCCGGTTACTCAACCCTGCACCTTAGAGGCTGCTGCCCTATGTACATAACATGGAACACTGGTCACGTTAATAATGTTTACATACTGTTTTACCCATTTCATATGTATATACTGTATTCTAGTCAAGGCCATCCTACTTAACTATTGCTGTACATATACTATTCTATCCACGTATTCTTCAGATATACTATATATATTCTATCAATGTCTATACATCCCATCATACATATATTTATACGCCGGACTCTGACATTGCTTGTCCTAACATTTCTATATTTCTTAATTATATTATTTTACTTTTTAGATTTGTGTGTATTGTTAGATATTACTGCACTGTTGGAGCTAAGAACACAAGCATTACGCTACACCTGCAATAACATCTGCTAAATATGTGTACGTGACCAATAAAATTAGATTTGACATTGTTGCATGCTAAATGTTTCTGATCAGTGATGGATGAGTATAAATGAGCTACCACCTCCACTTGCCCAGCCAGAGATCAATTAACCAAATATACAGATGGAGATTCAGTGAAACAAAATCACATTGATTGATTATCAGACATGTCACAGGCATTTGGTAAGAAGGACAGGCTACTACAGTTGAAGTCGGAAGTTTACATACACCTTAGCCAAATACATTTAAATTCCGTTTTTCACAATTCCTGACATTTAATCCTAGTAAAAATTCCCTGTCTTAGGTCAGTTAGGATCACCACTTTATTTTACATTTACGTCATTTAGCAGACGCTCTTATCCAGAGCGACTTACAGTTAGTGCATACATTATTCTTATTTGTTTTATTTTATTTGTATTTTTAAATTTTAATTTTTTTCATACTGGCCCCCCGTGGGAATCGAACCCACAACCCTGGCGTTGCAAACGCCATGCTCTACCAACTGAGCTACCTCCCTGCCGGCCATTCCCTCCCCTACCCTGGACGACGCTGGGCCAATTGTGCGCCGCCCCATTGGTCTCCCGGTTGCGGCCGGCTACAGCAGAGCCTGGATTCGAACCAGGATCTCTAGTGGCACAGCTAGCCTTAGACCACTGCGCCACTCGGGAGACAGAATACACATGTTTTACGAATGTGAAATGTCAGAATAATAGTATAGAGAATGATTTATTTCAGCTTTTATTTCTTTCATCACATTCCCAGTGGGTCAGAAGTTTACATACAGTCAATTAGTATTTGGTAGCATTGCCTTTAAATTGGTTAACTTGGGTCAAACATGTTGGGTAGCCTTCCACAAGCTTCCCACAATACGTTGGGTGAATTTTGGCCCATTCCTCCTGACAGAGATGGTGTAACTGAGTCAGGTTTGTAGGCCTCCTTGCACGCACATGCTTTTTCAGTTCTGCCCACACATTTTCTATAGGATTGAGGTCAGGGCTTTGTGATGGCCACTCCAATACCTTGACTTTGTTGTCCTTAAGCCATTTTGCCACAACTTTGGAAGTATCCTTGGGGTCATTGTCCACTTGAAAGACCCATTTGCGACCAAGCTTTAACTTCCTGACTGATGTCTTGAGATGTTGCTTCAATATATCCACATAATTTTCCTTCCTCATGATGCCATCTATTTTGTGAAGTGCACCAGACCCTCCTGCAGCAAAGCACCCCCACAGCATGATGCTGCCACCCCCGTGCTTCACGGTTGGGATGGTGTTCTTCGGCTTGCAAGTACCCCCTTTTTCCTTCAAACATAAAGATGGTCATTATGGCCAAACAGTTCTATTTTTGTTTCATCATACCAGAGGACATTTCTCCAAAAAGTAAGATCTTTGTCCCCATGTGCAGTTGCAAACCGTAGTCTGGCTTTTTTATGACGGTTTTGGAAACGTGGCTTCTTCCTTGCTGAGCGGCCTTTCAAGTTATGTCGATATAGGACTCGTTTTACTGTGGATATAGATACTTTTGTACCTGTTTCCTCCAGCATCTTCACAAGGTCCTTTGCTGTTCTTCTGGGATTGATTTGCACTTTTCGCACCAAAGTACGTTCATCTCTAGGAGACAGAACGCGTCTCCTTCCTGAGCGGTATGACGGATGCGTGGTCCCATGGTGTTTATACTTGCGTACCATTGTTTGTACAGATGAATGTGGTACCTTCAGGCGTTTGGAAATTGCTCCCAAGGATGAACCAGACTTGTGGAGGTCTACAATTGTTTTCTGAGGTCTTGGCTGATTTCTTTTGATTTACCCATGATGTCAAGCAAAGAGGCACTGCGTGTGAAGGTAGGCCTTGAAATACATCCACAGGTACACCTCCAATTGACTCAAATGTTGTAAATTAGCCTAGCAGAAGCTTCTAAAGCCATGACATCATTTTCTGGAATTTTCCAAGCTGTTTAAAAGGCACAGTCAACTTAGTGTACGTAAATTTCTGACCCACTGGAATTGTGATACAGTGAATTATAAGTGAAATAATCTCTGTAAACAATTGTTGGAAAAATTTCTTGTGTCATGCACAAAGTAGATGTCCTAACCGACTTGCCAAAACTATAGTATGTTAACAAGAAATTTGTGGAGTTGTTGAAAAACGAGTTTTAATGACTCCAACCTAAGTGTATGTAAACTTCCGACTTCAACTGTACATGAGTGAAGAGCAAAGTCCACTTATTAAAGGAAAACTCCACCCAAAAACGATATTTTGTTGTTTGTTTCATTAGTCCATTGTTGACATAGTCTCAAATTGTTTTGCTTGTCAGCAATCAAGTTTACGATACTGTATGTAACTTTCAAAATACAGAAATCATCCCCATATGATGCATACGGGGATGATTTCTGTATTTTGAAAGTTACATATCTTGAAAACTTGATTGCTGACAAGCAAAACAGTATTTTCTGAATTATTTGGCGAGCTACTCATAGGTGGGCTGCGAGCTACTGGTAGCTAGTGATCTACCTGTTGGAGACCCCTGCACTAGAGACAATGGAGTGTGTGCACAGAGTAACCGACTGGTGAGTGTTACCGGAGTGTGGTCTTGGTTCCGATCTCTCCCAGGTGACTGAGTGCCTCCTCACTGATGTTGATCCCCTCAGTCTGAGCACGAATCTTAATGATCTACAGAGAACACACACGCTCTCAGCATCACGCCACAGTGACCACATACTTAATATATTAACATACCATCACTCACACACACACTTCATATGTAGGAATGCCATCTCAGATGTGATAACACACACACACACACCTGCTTCATCTCCTGTGGTGTGTAGAGCATGGTGCGGATGATCATGACTCTGTCCAGCAGGTCCAGAGGAATGCCATGGGGAGAGCTGATGTCCTCTGTCCCCCTGATAACCAACCAACCACACAACAGAAAGGCTAGTAAACAGAGTAATAGGTTGCTATAACCATTAAAATGTTTCAAATCAAATTTTATTGGCCACATGCGCCGAATACAACAGGTGCAGACATTACAGTGAAATGCTTACTTACAGCCCTTAACCAACAGTGCATTTATAAAAAAAAAAAAAAAAAAAGTAAAATAAAACAACAAAAAAGTGTTGAAAAAATAAAACACGTAAAGTAAAATAACAGTAGGGAGGCTATATATACACGGGGGTACCGGTGCAGAGTCAATGAGCGGGGGCACCGGCTAGTTGAGGTAGTTGAAGTAATATGTACATGTGGGTAGAGTTATAGTGACTATGCATAAATAATTAAACAGAGTAGCAGCAGCGTAAAAATATGGGGTGGGGGGTGGGGGGGCAGTGCAAATAGTCCGGGTAGCCATGATTAGCTGTTCAGGAGTCTTATGGCTTGGGGGTAGAAGCTGTTGAGAAGTCTTTTGGACCTAGACTTGGCACTCCGGTACCGCTTGCCGTGCGGTAGCAGAGAGAACAGTCTATGACTAGGGTGGCTGGAGTCTTTGACAATTTTGAGGGCCTTCCTCTGACACCGCCTGGTATAGAGGTCCTGGATGGCAGGAAGCTTGGCCCCAGTGATGTACTGGGCCGTACGCACTACCCTCTGTAGTGCCTTGCGGTCGGAGGCCAAGCAGTTGCCATACCAGGCGGTGATGCAACCAGTCAGGATGCTCTCGATGGTGCAGCTGTAGAGTGTGCAACTTTATTTATTTTTATAGCTTCCAAAACAGACAGTCACAGTAACTCACATTCAAACTGACTGGGAGAGGCAATCCCCTGCATGCACATTAGCACACCCACCCACCTAATGAGGCAGTTGCCCCTATTGGAGGCGAACACTACGATGGGTGCGATGGTGCTCTCCAGGGCTCGGTGGAGGTAGGTGAAACACTCGATGTCCAGCATGTGCACCTCGTCCACAAACAGCACCCCGGGGACCAGCTCAGCCACACCCTGGTCAATGTAGCGGTTTACTACCTTGTTGATCTCAGCTCGCAGCTTGTCTAATGGACAGCAGGAAGGGCCAATGAAGAGCCAGGGATCAGGCAAGGGAGCCAATCAAAAGGCAAGGACAGAGCAGAAAGGGTGGGGTTCTTTTGAGTGATGTTTATTGGGGGGAGGGGTTAGGATTTTGAAAGTACAACCTGCTATTACTCCAAGGATATAACTAGGGTTGTGGGTTTTAAAATGTTAGGCTACATGCTTCAGGTCTTACCTGTGATCTCTGTCTTCTTGGGCTTCATCAGTTGTCCCATCATAGACAGGATATCTTGACCTCCCTGCGAGGAGAGTAACCTCACTGCATATATATTTTCTAAGTGTATATCTACAGTGCAGTCTCATATTCACTTGAATCAGGGTCTAGGGGAGACTGTGTGTGTGTGTACCTGTGGTCTAGCGTTGGCAATATCCAGGTCATGTAGTGTGACGTCTTGGATGATCTCTTTCTTCTTGTGGACGTCCCCCTTAGGCAGCGGCACGTACTCCTCAGCCTCCAGGTCAAACTCTGTGGCAAATGTGTCACACCGACCTTGTCTCTGACCACACCCCACACAGACACATGGAAGGAACGGTTCAACACAGAACACAGGCATCAAATATTAACCCAATCCCATCAGAGGTGGTCAGGTGGCTGAAACTAGGCCAATCCCATCAGAGGTGGTCAGGTGGCTGAAACTAGGCCAATCACTTCATAGGGGAACAAAAAGAAGGGATGGGAGGAGGAGGGAGAGCAGGTGTATGACTCCATGCCAACTCAAGGAGGGCATGAAAGAGGTGGGGGGATGAAAGAGTAAGAGTCAGGGAGGGTCCTCCGGGGGCTGTCAACAGCATCAAATATAAGGACCATCCCTCCCTCCCTCACCTGCCCACCTACACCCTCGGCCCCCCCAGCCCACCTACACCCTCGGCCCCCCCAGCCCACCTGCCCCCCCAGCCCACCTACACCCTCGGCCCCCCCAGCCCACCTACACCCTCGGCCCCCCCAGCCCACCTGCCCCCCCAGCCCACCTACACCCTCGGCCCCCCCAGCCCACCTGCCCCCCCAGCCCACCTGCACCCTCGGCCCACCTGCACCCTCGGCCCACCTACACCCTCAGCCCCCCCAGCCCACCTACACCCTCGGCCCACCTGCACTGATTTAAAGAAGCCGTCAACACGCGTCAAACTAAGCCATGAGGCCCTTCCACCAGAACAGAGGGAGCGGAGGAGAGATGGAGAGATAGGGGGAATAAAATCTGGGGGCAATGAAGAGATGTAGGAATGCCTACAGTAGAGAGATGAAACTGGGCCAGGAGGAAGGCGCACTGTGTTCTTTTAGTGTCGTTTTTTTTGTTGTGTATTCTTAGTTTGTGTACTTGTTTGTTAGTTTATCTACTTACTACTTTGTATAGTATGTGTACAATTACTTTGGACTTAAATGTTTGAGCCATTGCAAATGTGTAATTTGTGTATGGGAGCCTTTTCAAAGCGAGTGTTTGTATAGAAGTGTACTGTAATAAGTGGAAGTGTACTGATACTTTGACGGCGCCACTGTTTGCTTCAATGTAGATGACATCTCCCACTTCCACACGCTCCTTCTGCAGGCTCTCATAAATACTGGGGTCCAGCTAAACAAACAACACAGAGACACAGACAGTGAGACACATGGGCAACTCCTATATGGACTGGTCTAGCCTCTGACTCGTGCCTGACCTTGAGCTGCTTGGTGCCCTTGCCGGTCTTCAGTCCGATGATGACGTGACTGATGGTCTTCCCGTAACCACCCATGGGGTTCTCCGTCTCACAGGGGGTCAGCTCTGTAACCTCCCCCTCATACACCTCCTTGGTCTCCTTAATACGCAGCCCTGGAGGAGGGAGAACAGGGTCAGGGTCACACACACTGAATGAACTATGTAAAGCCTTTATTCTCTTGAATCAATAAAACCGCCACATCCTTTGGTCTACCTGGCGGATAATTTATTGGAGAATGTGAGACAGTGTGTGTGTGAGTGTGTGTACAGTGCATGGTCCTCTCTCGGTGTAATGTGATCACACTGTAGCCCTTGTTCCTCCTGCATACAGCCTCTCGGTGTGTGAGTGGCGGGGGGGCTGGGAGTGAGAGACACACTTCTGAGGGAGAGGCCGTCTGTCAGAGTGCTCTTATCAGGGGGGTGTCGACAGGCTCAGAATGTACCACGCCCTTTTCCTCCATCGTAATGCTTGTGTGTTCTGTCCTGGGGAGGGGTGAGGGTGCGGACCACCACTCCGCTCTCAACCCACGCTCCATTTCCTTCTCTGTGACAGGTAATGTCAACACTCCAACAAACCCCTTCCCCCAATCCCTCTCCAAGGCCTTCCTCCCCAGTGTCAACAGCCACACTGATACCCTCCCCTTGTCCTGCTTCTCAGCCCAGTAGGAGGAGTGTGGAGGAGAACACCTGGTTCTGGAGTCTATTCTGATGGTGGTGCAGCAGGTGAATGAAGGGTGCAGCTTTATCTGGTCTCCAATTGACCCAAGCTTATGAGCGTGTGTTAGTGCTGAGCGATCAACCACATTTTTTTGTTTGTCTGTTTTTTAAACAACTAATTGACCGACGTCGGTTCAATTATTTTAATTCCATTTTGTTTTTGTTTTTCTGTGGGCTCATTGCGCAGTTTCTCGAGATAAATCAGATCAAGCCCAAACTGTGCGATGTAGTAGGGAATTGTAATTTCCAACAGGCCAATATTCTACATATACTGAACAAAAATATAAACGCAACATGTAAAGTCCCATGTGACATGAGCTGAAATAAAAGATCCCAGAGATGTTCCATATGCACAAAAAGCTTATTTATCTCAAATGTTGTGCAGAAATTTGTTTACATCCCTGTTAGTGAGCATTTCTCCTTTGCCAAAATAATCCATCCACCTGATAGGTGTGACATATCGAGAAGCTGATTAAACAGCATGATCGTTACACAGGTGTACCTTGTGCTGGGGACAATAAAAAGCCACTCTAAAATGTGCAGTTTTGTCACACAACACAATGCCACAGATGTCTCAAGTTTTGAGGGAGCGTGCAATTGGCATGCTGACTGCAGGAATGTCCACCAGAGCTTTGTCAGATAATTGTATGTTTATTTCTCTACCATAAACCGCCTCCAACGTCGTTTTAGAGAATTTGGCAGTACGTCCAACCAGACTAAATACCACAGACCACGTGTAACCACGCCAGCCCAGGACCTCCACATCCGGCTTCTTCACCTGCGGGATTTCACCCGGACAGCTGATGAAACTGAAGAGTATTTATGTCTGTAATAAAGCCCATTTGTGGGGAAAAACTCATTCTGATTGGCTGGGCCCCTGCCCAGTCATGTGAAATCCATAGATTAGGGCCTAATTTATTTATTTCAAGTGACTGATTTCCTTATATGAACTATAACTCAGTAAAATCTTGAAATTGTTGTATGTTGCATTTATATTTTGTTCAGTATAGTTTCACACATTAAACGTGGTAATTAACTACAATGACCATAATCCATTGCGCGTCTACTTGTCTGGTCTGTGTTTCTTTTACGCCTGCTACGTAAAAGAGAGAAGAATGCATAACCGAGAGGGCTAGAGAGCAGTTACTTCGAGGTATCTCTGCCTCAAAATACATGATCTAAGTCATTGTTAGTTGGTATTCTGCAGTAATTAAAGTATGGCTTACTTACTTTGATTAACTACTAAAATAGTGACTTTGTCAGACAGCAGCTCTATAGAGATTATATGATGACTTGGAATTAAATAATAAAGTCATCAAATAAAACAAACGTAATAATAATATTTTATTAAAGTAATGTGAATAAATGATGGTTAATAAGTGATTAGCAGTAATGGGCAGTCACTACCATCATGGGACTTTTATTAATTGTTTTATTCTGTGTTGTTACAGCATTTAACCCATATAATGAATTTAAAGGTGCAATATGCAGAAATCGCAACGCCATTTCCTGGTTGCTAAAATTATAATAGCCCGCCTTTATGTGACAAAACAAGCAATGTATAGTGTAGAGAATCATCGTACCATCTAAACCGCTGTGAAATGTATTTTCAATAACCAACAATGTTGTATTTTCAGTAAAAGTAAGACACAAAAACAAAACTTAAGAACGGGAAGCATAGAAATAGCGCACATAGAATAGATCTACCGCTTCTTAGACTTGCTTTCAATGAGAATGATAGGACTATAACACATTACTATGTGCATTTAGTCGGGTCGCCCAAAAGGTGACATATTGCAGCTTTAAAATAAAAAAATAAAAATTGAAAACGAAATCAAAAACCGGGATAAGTTTTTTTATAATCTAACCAAAACTACCTCAAAAAGCACAACTCGCTCAGCACTAGTGTGTGTGTGATCCATTCCCAGTGGCCCTGTGTTTGTGTGTGGCCCCTCACCTATGGCCCTCCTGAAGTTCTCCATCAGCACTTCTGTTTTCTTGATCTCAGAAGAGTAGACCTCACTGCCCACCATGGGGCAGAAGGGCACCTTGTTGCCGAGCTCCTGTGCCATAGCCAAAGCCAGGGCGGTCTGCAGGGGGGAAAGAGATGGAGCAAAGTAGGGTTGGTCAAAGTCTCTCAAGTCTTGTATTCTTTCTACTACTGTGGAGGCCAGGAGACACAGTAAGCATATCAGACATTTCACAATTAAGACTTCGGTGTATCATTTAAGTACTGCAGTAACATTTTGTCTACCTTTCCTGTACCGGGGGGTCCAGCAAGTAAAACTGCCCTTCCCGACATCTTCTTTGAGCGGATCAGTTCCACAATAATACCACAAGCCTGTTGACAGATTATTATTATTATTTTTAAAGAACATACCAAGCCCAGTTGGTAGTTGTTTTATTGAAAATGAGAAATATAATAATAAAGAATAAATCAAAGAAAAATGCCATTCAAAGTAACGTGATTTCTTAAAAACAGTGGCTAAAAGTTAGCTTGGCATATAGCTTGCTGGTTTTCCTACCTCTCTTGCGGTCTCCTGTCCGACAAGACCTGACGCATTTTGCTTTGCGTTCCCGGCCTCGTCCAGCCCGAGTCCTTTCACATGGCTGTGAGACGCGATGCGCTGGGTTTTCGTGGTACTTTTGACTTCCTCGATCTTCATGGCTGTGTTTTTTTATGAACGTCTTATAAGAAAGCAATAAAAGCAAACAAAAATGCCCCCTTGATCGTTATTTATTCACCTTTAGAAAAGGCGCAGTAACTCAAAACACACAGAAGCGATCTGTTTCAATGTGGGTTACCAAGGAAGTACCACCCGAAAGTTAAATGTTTTTGCTCTAAGAGGTACACTATTGGACAATTATGCTCTTCTGTTATAAAGCGATTGGATAGAAGCACTGTCAATCTCACTCATGCACAAGACCGCCACGCCTCTTTGTGTCTTTTATTTCTGCTTGTGTTCACTTCACTTTGACTTTACGGAAACTGGTACATCATTTGAGATTGATTCCTGCCTTTGAGATTGAATTTTGTCGCCTACAATCTCTTTGCTTAGCAATATAATTAGTGTTGAACTCTAGACGGATATTTCTTCACACCTCATGATTTTGTAGCCTCTACTTGTGAGAGGGAATAAAACGTTACTCACACTGGCATAATTTCCAGAGGACTGTTTTTACTGATACGCAGGAAGAACATTTGAAAGAAACGTTTTGTGTAGTTCGACAGTTAACATTAGTGTTTAGCTACCTATATTTCATTAAACATATGAATGAATTGTAACGTAAGGAGTTCAATTAATGAACTTATTGAATGAATGTTAGTTTAACGTAAAGGTTGTCAATTGTGTCATTACTGAACGTAACTAGAGTTCAAGGTCCAGCCAGTAACGCTAACGTTAGCTGCTGAAGTTGCGACAGGAGCAGAAAGCTAACGTTAGCTAGCTACCCGTCATGGCAGACTCGAGCAACAACCACCCGAAGACCCTCAATTTTAATGTGGGGGTACTTGGGCATGTCGACAGCGGGAAGACGTCGCTTGCCAGGGCGCTCAGCAGCACAGCGTCCACTGCTGCCTTTGACAAGAACCCCCAGTCCCGAGAGAGAGGCATCACCCTGGATCTCGGCTTCTCCTCCTTCACCGTGGACCTCCCCGAGCAGCTGCGGGAGGACTCCGGGGGCTACGGCTACGACAACCTGCAGTTCACGCTGGTGGACTGTCCTGGACACGCGTCCCTCATTCGCACCATCATTGGGGGTGAGAGAAGTGAATGAAGAGAATATCATATTACTGCAGAGATAAATCGATAACCTAACCATAGTGGCAAGAGAGCAAATGCACAGGTGTTGACACCTGTGTAACGGTGGAGATCCCATCACTCACACTAAATGACTGTACATATTTAAACTGGCCAGTCAGCTGTCTGACAGCTCCTGGTACTCTAGCCCTGAGTTTGACTGCCAGCTTCAATAATGGCAAGTGGGAACATACAATGACTTAATCAGATATGGATATGGCTAATTGATTGCGGGTGTAAAAATAGAGTTTAAACTCTAGACTCAACCAGCAGAGGGCGACTGGAACTGCAGAATAAAGACTACACATACACCCCATACAAATATACTTTATTTCTCGACTCAACTGTGTAAGGCAGCCATTACATGGTTAACCCACACTGACTGACTGCCCCTCCACTAGCCTGTGGCTTGGCAAGGAAGAGGGAGAGAGAGGAGCAATGGGTTGAAGTCTCCAGGAGGACGAAAGAGACCTCCTTACCCTTACGCCCCAGCTGAACCCTGCTTACTCATTCCCCCTCTCTTTCTTGCTACTATCTCCCTTCTTTCTCTCTCTCCTCACTCCTTAGGAGTGTTTGTAGGGTTGATCCACTTTTCTATTATTAGTTTTATTATTTCTAGGTAAGGAATTGACTATATGTATCCTGGAAGAGGAGACTGCTTTAACAGGGCTGAGAGGTGAGGGTATGCATTGGTGGGAGAAGAAGATGGGAGTTGAAGGAAATCAGGATAAGGGGAGCACACACAGTGGCCGTGTGGCCTGAGTCAGTGTACATGGCTGGTAGTTTACTATATAAAGCCAGTGTGTCCCTGTGGATGGCACATCCTGTCGATTTAGGGCGGAAGGAAAGTGTGGGGATCAGGGTATGTAATAAACTTCCTCTCCTGTCCCTAATGGGGAGAGCACAGGAAATAAAGAGCGCCAAAGAGAGGCAGATAAAATAGGGGAGCACAGGAAAGAAAGAATGCCAAAGAGAGGGAAAGAAAAGAGGGAGAGGAAAGACAACCAAGTGAGCTGGGGCTCAAATTTCAGCCCTCTAGCCCTTCTCCCTTTTTTACATCCCTCTCTACCCTTTGTACCCTCCATCTTCTCTCTCTCCCTCTCTTCTTATGTTGTTATTCTTGGTTGTCTGTTGCTGTTTCTCCATTGGTTGCTCAACTTATGACTGGTCATATGGGCCCTGTGTAGATAAGCTGTAACCATGCAGTGCTGAGTGGTCACAATCATTTAACTGCAGTAGTTTTGGACTGGGGTGTTATTATAGACAAGCCATATAGCATACATAAAAGTCTAATTGTGAGTGTGTGTGTTCCAGGGGCTCAGATCATAGACCTGATGATGCTGGTGGTAGATGTGGTGAAGGGGATCCAGACCCAGACAGCAGAGTGTCTGCTGATAGGAGAGCTGACCTGCCCCCACATGGTGGTCATTCTCAACAAGACTGACCTGCTGCCGCCCAACAAGAGACAGACCGTCATCGACAAGATGACCAAGAGACTGCACAAGACCCTGGAGAACACCAGGTAACACACACACCAGGCCCCCAGTGTCCTTTCTGGAGCGTGAAGTCACCAGCTCTGCTGGTCGGCTACTGTGTAGCCACCTAGCACTGCCAAAAGCCCTGGGCTTGTATCCACAAAGCGTTTCAGTGTAGGAAATTGGTCGTAAGTGCTGAGAATAGAGACATCTTACTCCTACTCTTATGGGTAGAAATAAAAGCTATGCAGGAAGGGCTTTAGTCATAAGAGTCCCACCAAGTCGACAGATATTTATGACACCTCATAAGCTGTCCTAACCAGTTAATAGTTACCAGCAGGTGTCTTGATAATAGAAAAATGCAGCGAGTCAGTGGTTCCTGTGCCACATGCAACTGCTTTGGAGTTGTTCAAAGAATGTTTTGATATTTCTATACGATCAATCTATAAATAATCTAGACCTACATGCTACAGTATCTCTTGTGTCTTTGACAATGATTTCACATGAGGCCTATTTCACATGATATGCCTAAATACGTATAACTAATAAATAAACACTTTTTTCTTTTGATTATTTAATTACCTACATTATGTTATTTCAAGCTATTCATTTGGAGCGCAACATCACGTTGTTAAAAAATATGTCTAATTGGACATGTCTACAAGTTGGGAAATTGAAGGCATCTAGGGCTTATGTTAACTTTGATTGTTTTCGATGAAAATGATAGACCTTTCAAACGTTGTATGCAACTTTATCTGCAAATGACTTGATGCCTACTGTGCCAAATCGATTTAGATTTGTTAAACAGGAGTGACAAGTGTGTTGATATAATGGTAATTGTCAAAATTCCGCTTTTAACAACCATCAGAATTGGTTAAAAAGGTTTATGCATGCCAACATATTAAAAAATAATTAAGAGTAGGCACATTTTCGTGTCAGTCAAATTATATAAAACATTTTATAATTGCAACATTTGATGTACAGTCACATTCACCGTAGTTGTCTGAAGCAACGCGTGCTATAGAGTTCACAGCTGGCGATGCCCTCATCGTGATTGGTTATTCCCAATCATTTACAACATGTCAATGAGCATCATCACTATCTTTCCTTTGCGGTACCTCAACTGTTGTGATTACCAGCTGAGATACATTTTTATGAGTTGATTTTACTTCTGGCTCAGAGTTTGTCTGAGCAGTGACTTAACATCATCCTAAAACCTACTCTGAGCTGGGATTTATTTTTGTCTTTAAACAGGTTTTAACAGGATTCTAAGAACTTTTCTGAGATGCTTTGTGGATGATCGCCAGTACTGCCAAACACATTTTGTTTAGACTGCCGTTTTGGGCTATAAAATGTGTTTATTATGATCAAGTTCGATCCCCACTGTGAATTATTTTAAAGTTCGCTACAAATCGAGATATTGAATTAAATAGTGATACATTCTGACTACTACATTTGTCGTCACACAGGACCAGGTGCTGACACAGACCAATCATGGCCGGCAGGCTATGAGGAGGCTCCATAGACATTAAGGTTGACTCTCTCAGGCAGGATGAGAACGACTACATCGACCATGATCCTTTGCTAGTTACGGCCACTTTGACTATGATCGTTAGCGATTTTTTTGGGTGCCACTCAGCCCCATTCAGCAATAATAGCGTGCTTCAAATTCAAATATTACCAACTTCATGTGCCATCGGGAGTTTTCCATAGGAATACATGGATGACGTCAACGCTATCACTATCTGCTGGTTTTAATGTCTATGACACACACACAGTAAATCTAACCCTCGTTTCATCCCCTGTTGGACAGATTTAAAGACTGTCCTGTGATTGCCTTGGCAGCAAAGCCTGGGGGTCCTGAGGCCCCTGAATCAGAGGAGCCCCATGGAGTGCCTGAGTTAATAGAGGTAAAGACCCTGAACACACTGGTGCCCCAGGATGTGCCTGCACTATTAGCAGTTTGGGTTAATATTCTGACTTGTGTGTAGAAGTCTTCAATGATACATACAGTATCATACAGTAAAAGGTAGATCTTACAGAACAAAGAGGTATGACAGACACTGTCAGGTCAGGGGGTTCTGCCATATGATTAAAACACAAGAGACACTGTCAGGTCAGGGGGTTCTGCCCTATGATTAAAACACAAGAGACACTGTCAGGTCAGGGGGTTCTGCCCTATGATTAAAACACAAGAGACACTGTCAGGTCAGGGGGTTCTGCCCTATGATTAAAACACAAGAGACACTGTCAGGTCAGGGGGTTCTGCCCTATGATTAAAACACAAGAGACACTGTCAGGTCAGGGGGTTCTGCCCTATGATTAAAACACAAGAGACACTGTCAGGTCAGGGGGTTCTGCCCTATGATTAAAACACAAGAGACACTGTCAGGTCAGGGGGTTCTGCCCTATGATTAAAGAGACACTGTCAGGAAGTGTTTATGAAACCACAGGATACACACTCAACACTAATATATGGCTCTCTGTGTGTATGACTCTGAATCACACTCATGCCTACAATGACCTTACAATGTTATGACAGCAGTTTTGACTTTGGTGTGTGTGTCCTAGCTGTTGAAGAGCCAGACGTACCTTCCTCACAGAGACCCGGGGGGAGCCCTACTGATGGCCGTGGACCACTGCTTCTCCATCCGTGGTCAGGGCACAGTCATGACCGGAACCATCCTACAGGGGGCGCTGGCTGTCAACGACACTGTGGAGATCCCAGCGCTCAAGGTACGGTCACTAACCACAGAACACTGATGTACATGACCACTGAAAGAAGTCTTGGTCAGTGGTTCTCAACCTCAATCCCCCATGTCTATGGACCAGAAACCATTCTTTGTGATATTGCAGAACATTACAGTGCATTAGTCAATTTAATTTGTTCTAATTGTAGTTAATGTGATCCTATAAAGAGACTATAGCATGATGGTAGTCCCTGCTTCCAGAAGGGTTGAGAATCATTGATGTAGTAGAATAACCCTGATTCAGATGACCTGGAAGGCTGCAGTAGAAGCTAAAAGCTACAGAGTTTTTTTGGGGAGGGAAGTTCAGAAGTTGACTGCAAGAGGAGAGAGGGAGGGATGGTAGTGTGGGGGTGGAGGATGTCTGTGTGTGTTTTTTGGGGAGGGCAGGATGGGGAGACTGGGGAGAAGGGGTGGGGGATTGGCAGTACAGGAGCTGGCTAATTTAGACCAGATGCAGTCACTCACACTTGTAGGCCAGCCTAGTCTAAACACCAGTTTATTATCTTGAACCTTACTATCAACTGGTGTCGTCATAACATCCTCCATCGGGTGGCGGCAGAAGCCTGGATAAACCAGCAGGTAGTCTCAGCATTCAGTGTCAGAAAAAAATGGTGGTTAGGCCACACCGACCATACTCACCCACTCTCCCTCACACAATGAACACAAAATAAAAACAACACTCAAAGATTATTCTGAACACTGAACACACTGAACACAAATATAAACGCAACATGTAAAGTGTTGGTCCCATGTTTCATGAGCTGAAATAAAATATCCCAGAAATGTTCCATACGTACAAAAATATTATTTTGCTCAAATTTTGTGCACAAATTTGTTTACATCCATGTTAGTGAGCATTTCTCCTTTGCCAAGATAATCCATCCACCTGACAGGTGTGGCATATCAAGAAGCTGATTAACATCATGATCATTACACAGGTTCACCTTGTGCTGGGACAATAAAAGGCCACTCTAAAATGTGCAGTTTTGTCACACAACACAATGCAACAAATGTCTCAAGTTTTGAGGGAGCGTGCAATTGGCATGCTGACTGCAGGAATGGCCACCAGAGCTGTTGCCAGAGAATTGAATGTTCATTTCTCTACCATAAGCCGCCTCCGTTGTTTTAGAGAATTTGGCAGTACGTCCAACCGGCCTCACAACCGCAGACCACATGTAACCACGCCAGACCAGGACCTCCGCATCCGGCTTCTTCATCTGTGTATGGCGTCGTGTGGGCGAGCGGTTTGCTGAAGTCAACTTTGTGGCTCATGGTGGGGTTATGGTATGGACAGGCATAAGCTACAATGAACACTGCATTTTATCGAGCCATTTGAATGCACAGAGATACCATGACGAGATCCTGAGGCCCATTGTCGTTCCATTCATCTGCCGCCATCACCTCATGTTTCAGCATGATAATGCACAGCCCAATGTCGTAAGGATCTGTTCACAATTCCTGGAAGCTGAAAGTGTCCCAGTTCTTCCATGGCCTGTATACTTACCAGGCATGTCACCCATTGAGCATGTTTGGGATGCTCTGGATCGACGTGTACGACAGCGCATTCCAGTTCCCGCCAATATCCATCAACTTCGCACAGCCATTGAGGACTATATTCTAAGGAGATGTGTCACGTTGCATGAGGCAAATGGTCATGACACCAGATACTGACTGGTTTTCTGATCCACGCCCCTACCTTTTTTAGGTATCTGTGACCAACATATCTGTATTCCCAGTCATGTGAAATCCATAGATTAGGGCCTAATGAATTGACTGATTAATTGACATAGATTAGGGCCTAATGAATTGACTGATTTCCTTACATGAACTGTAACTCAGTAAAATCATTAAGTGTTGCATGTTGCGTTTATTTTTGTTCAGTGTATATTGTACATGTTCATACTTCATAATCTGTCAATTGCATACCTAACCTTGCACAAACAAACAATAGAGCTGATGAGTTAGTTTGATAGTCTCTCTGTGTTTGTCTTTTAACCGCTAGGTGACCAAGAAAGTGAAGTCAGTTCAGATGTTCCGGCGGCCGGTGGAGAGGGCCATGCAGGGTGACCGGGTGGGCGTGTGTGTGACCCAGTTTGACCCTAAACTTCTAGAACGGGGGGTGGTGTGTACCCCTGGTTCCCTACACACCCTCCATGCAGCCCTCATCTCCGTCAGAAAGATTGGCTACTTCAAGGGTTCCCTGGCCACCCGCGCTAAGTTCCACATCACCGTGGGCCACGAGACCGTCATGGCCAGGGTCACCTTCTTCGGTCTGCCCCCTGGAGAGACCCACCAGACCTCCACCACGGACCCCCAACTACCCCCCTCAGACCCCCACGCCCCTGAGCCAGACCCCAGACCCCTGGACACACCCTTCTCCTTTGACCGGGAGTACTTCCACCAGGACGAGTATGTGATTGGCCAGCGGGAGGCCGGAGGGTTGGGACAAGACCCGGAGCAGTGGGCGCTGCTGGAGTTTGAGCGTCCGGTCACATGTCCCACTCTCTGCCTGGTGATTGGCTCCAAGCTGGACACAGACATCCATGCCAATGCGTGCCGACTGGCGTTCCAGGGGCGTCTGCTGGAGGGCTTTGAGGAGAAGAGCTACTCTGAGACTACACTACCCAGACTACATATCTACAAGACCAAATACAAGGAGGGACAGGTGGAGAGGGTGAGTGGACCCACTGCCACACACAGACACATCCTCCACCCCCACACTCCCCGAATAGTCTGCACACACACCCTCCCCTCCCATCGGTCTTCATGCTTGGATCTCTGTCCTTGTTCCTCTGCCCTCTCTCTCATGCCTTTCCCTCTCTCCTTCCTGTCTTCTGGTCCTTGTTTGGATGTTTCTCGTTGCTGGTGGCACTGGAGAGTTTTTCAGGGACTGAGCTCCCATTGTGTACACACATACACATACGGAGTCCCGGTGGCATGGAGAAGTATGCGGGGCCTTTTCGTGTGCTGGGCTGTGACACAAGCGTGTGGCCCCCTGATGCCAGCGGCAACAGCCAGACAGCCAGACTGGTGCTGTTTGGACCTGAGTGGCACAGGAATATACCCACATCCACATGGCTCTCTGCATTCCCCCCGGCCCGTACTCTGGCCCCTGCTCTCTGCTCTCTCTCTGTCTCTCTGCCTCGGCTCTCTCACTCTCATCTCTCTTTTTCTCTCTCTCTCTTTGTGTCCTCAATCTGTTATGGTTTTTGATCTCTCCCTGGCTCGATCGCACTCTTGTAATATCTTCAATGACTTATTTTGTCATTTAATTCAACACATTTACTCTGGCTCTTCTGTTGTTCCTCAGTTTGTCTTCCCCTTTTTTTCTCATAAGAGTCTTATCTGCCTCGTTGCTCCTGCCTGTCTGTCTGTTTGAGTGTTGTCTGCAGCCACAGTACACACCCTCTCTCAGGATCACTCACAGGTCAGCGGTCAAGTGTGTGGACAAGTTTTACTGCTGTTAGACTGTTACACAGAGGGCGTTGACCGTGAGGTTGATCCTATCCCTGTGAGGTCAGACTCAGGTCATGTGATGTGGGTGTGGGTTCCCCTCCCAGAATGAGGAAGTCCTATTTGTTTAGGTTTTTTTTCTAAGAGGACAAATATCTGAGATGGAGTTTGAATGTTTGAGATATGACAAAGTAATATCTTTGAGTCATGCCTTAGTCACTGTGTTATTTTATTAGGATCCCCATTAGCAGTTGCAAAAGCAGCAGCTACTCTTCCTGGGGTCCACATAAAACACAACACATGACCTAATACAGAACAAAAATAGACAAGAACAGCTCAAGGACAGAACTACATACATTAAGAGTATAATTGTAACCAACTGTAGCTTATCAGCGGTCACGCATCAGTCAGAACTGAACATCAGCGCGAGAGAGGGAAGGAATGGACAAAGGGGGAGAAGTAGCGAGGGACAGAGTGCTGCCCTCCCTTTATCGGATCAGTGACGGGTGAGAGAGTCTCAGTGATGGACAGATGGGGGGGGGGGGGAAATACAAACAAACAGAAGAAAAATGCGAAGAGGAATGAAAGAGAGGACAGACAGACAAACGGCAGTCCTAGGGGAATGTGGCTCATGGTTGGGTTGGGACAGGGTACAAAACAGTGTCGTGGTGGGGTCAGCCACACCCCCCCCCACCCCACACCTCACTATGGCGACAGTGGTAGCATGGCAACACACGAGATGTGTGTTAGATCAGAGAGAGGAACATGAAAAACAAACAAACACTGACCTTTCTTATACTGTCTGCCTCAATAAATCATTAAAGGATATGCTGGAACATTAGTTAATGATGTTATTATTTGTATGATATTTTCCACTTTCTTGTGCTATTTGCTTGTATTCGTTACTGGAAGTTGCTCATTTAATAATAATATTATTTAGGCGTATTACATTAGAAAAATATATTTTCCAGTTTATTTAATTATTTTGTTGTATCTGTCATTGGTGCCTCTCAAGTCTCCTTCTTCCTCTTCTCTGGTCAGGTGACAGACAACTACACTGTGATTGGCCGAAACCTGTTCAAGAAGGAGACCAACCTGCAGTTGTTTGTGGGGTTAAAGGTCACGCTGTCGACCGGCGAGGCGGGGGTCATCGAAGGCGGCTTTGGACAGAGCGGGAAGTTTAAGATCCGTGTGCCAGGTACGTAGTGATGGGGCTGTATGAATGTGTTAAGGATAAAACAGACCACGCCGACGATTGGTTAAAAGCAGCGTATGGGTGTATGATCAGATATCATCAGACCATCACATATCAGCCATCATTTTATATTAATTTCCTGGCATTTCTACATGTTGAAACGCCTCCCTTCATTGACACCCAGCAGTACTGCACACGGCCGACGTTCATTATGGTTTGTCTTTCCTTCTTATATTATTAACAGTCAAGATAAGGACTGTACTGTTTGGATTTCTTACTGCATTTGTCAGCAATACATATTCCATTTGTTTATTCGTCAGAATGATGCAATTACATCTAGTAGAACCGAAGCATGAAAGGGGCCTTCTCTTTTCTCCTCTATCTTTCCTGCTCTCTCTCTTTCTCTCTCTCTCTCTGGTTCCCGTGGTTGTCCGTGGTCCATTCTTTGTCAGGATCAGGATGTGGTGTGCTGGGAATCCCACTCCAGCATTCCCAGGATTCCTCTGGGGGTAGCTCTGGTTCCGGGGGAAGTCTGCACCCTGTTTATTTTACCTTCTGTCGCTCCACTCCCCTCCGACACACAGATAGGCTCCACACTGGGCCCGGCGGGAAGACATTTAGAAAGAGAACCCTACCTACATCCTCTCAACTCACTCACACTGACGTACACACTCACACATGCTCTTACATATACACTGACATACTTGGCTAGTCACTTAAGACATTCAGCATGCTCATTCACTCTCATAGTATGCCCCCTGCTGTGTGTTCATCTGACCTCTCGCTACTCTGGGTGTGTTTGTGTGTGCTCCCTTTCTCTCATTGTTGTTCGCCCCTTCAGAGGACATGATTCAAAATGGAGAAAGTGAGGGAGAGAAATTAAAAGAGCAGGGCTAGTTAAATTTGAGTGAGTCTTTGAAGGCCCCCCAGACCCCTCCACAACCTCCCCCGCCCACACAGACACTACTGTCCAATCCCCCCCCGCCACCGCCCTCCCCTGGCCCTGACCCAAACTCATCCCCTACAAGCCCCTTAGGGCCACCAGCCTGGCACTAGACACTTATTCTAGAGGAAAGAGATGGAGGGACAAATGGAGGGAAAGGAGCAGAGAAGAAGAGGGGGGTAGATGTCCTTTAGACTTTGAAGGAAAGGTCTTCTCATCTCCAAAAAGTTGGACCCGGACCCGAGGACAATCCGACCCAGATCAGAACAGACCCGCTAAAAAAAGAAAAGGGGGACCCGGACCTGAACGGACCCGAGAACAATCAGACCTGAACCCAAATGGACGCGATGACAACCAGACCTAGACCTGGCCCGTAACCGATTGGGCCGAGTGACAAAATAATTATCTTTATCAACCAAGTTGATCTTCTGGTTAACAAATACAGTGAGGGGAAAAAAGTATTTGATCCCCTGCTGATTTTGTACGTTTGCCTACTGACAAAGACATGATCAGTCTATAATTTTAATGGTAGGTTTATTTGAACAGTGAGAGACAGAATAACAACAAAAAAATCCAGAAGAATGCATGTCAAAATGTTTATCAATTGATTTGCATTTTAATGAGGGAAATAAGTATTTGACCCCTCTGCAAAACATTACTTAGTACTTGGTGGCAAAACCCTTGTTGGCAATCACAGAGGTCAGACGTTTCTTGTAGTTGGCCACCAGGTTTGCACACATCTCAGGAGGGATTTTATCCCACTCCTCTTTGGCAACTCGAACCTTCAGCTCCCTCCACAGATTTTCTATGGGATTAAGGTCTGGAGACTGGCTAGGCCACTCCAGGACCTTAATGTGCTTCTTCTTGAGCCACTCCTTTGTTGCCTTGGCTGTGTGTTTTGGGTCATTGTCATGCTGGAATACCCATCCACTACCCATTTTCAATGCCCTGGCTGAGGGAAGGAGGTTCTCACCCAAGATTTGACGGTACATGGCCCCGTCCATCGTCCCTTTGATGCGGTGAAGTTGTCCTGTCCCCTTAGAAGAAAAACACACCAATGGTGTTCTTGGGGTCATAGGCAGCATTCCTCCTCGTCCAAACACGGCGAGTTGAGTTGATGCCAAAGAGCTCGATTTTGGTCTCATCTGACCACAACACTTTCACCCAGTTCTCCTCTGAATCATTCAGATGTTCATTGGCAAACTTGCGACGGGCCTGTATATGTGCTTTCTTGAGCAGGGGGACCTTGCGGGCGCTGCAGGATTTCAGTCCTTCACGGCGTAGTGTGTTACCAATTGTTTTCTTGGTGACTATGGTCCCAGCTGCCTTGAGATCATTGACAAGATCCTCCCGTGTAGTTCTGGGCTGATTCCTCACCATTCTCATGATCATTGCAACTCCACAAGATGAGATCTTGCATGAAGCCCCAGGCTGAGGGAGATTGACAGTTATTTTGTGTTTCTTCCATTTGCGAATAATCGCACCAACTGTTGTCACCTTCTCACCAAGATGCTTGGCGATGGTCTTGTAGCCCATTCCAGCCTTGTGTAGGTCTACAATCTTGTCCCTGACATCCTTGGAGAGCTCTTTGGTCTTGGCCATGGTGGAGAGTTTGGAATCTGATTGATTGATTGCTTCTGTGGACAGGTGTCTTTTATACAGGTAGCAAACTGAGATTAGGAGCACTCCCTTTAAGAGTGTGCTCCTAATCTCAGCTCGTTACCTGTATAAAAGACACCTGGGAGCCAGAAATCTTTCTGATTGAGAGGGGGTCAAATACTTATTTCCCTCATTAAAATGCAAATCAATTTATAACATTTTTGACGTGCGTTTTTCTGGATTTTTTTGCTGTTATTCTGTCTCTCACTGTTCAAATAAACCTACCATTAAAATTATAGACTGATCATTTCTTTGTCAGTGGGCAAACGTACAAAATCAGCATGGGATCAAATACTTTTTTCCCCTCACTGTAGGTCCTCATATGTTGGCTATATGCTATGGGTCCACTCGGGTCTATCAGCTGTAGTTGCATAGACCCGATTACAATCAAACAGGACCCGACCTGGAACCGAGGGAAAAGTTAGAATTATGGATCCAGACCTTCTCGGGTATTCGGTTCAGTCGGACCCTTGAAGACCTCTACTTTGAAGACCCTTGATTTCTGCATTTGGGCCAGTTGTGTGGTTTGTGTATGTGGTGTGTATGTTGTATGTTATATGTCAGCCTGAAATTACAATGATAAAATACATGTGTTCATTATGTGGTTTTATGCAACAAAACAACTTGTTATACATTTGTGGTGGCAGCTTTAGGAGGATAATTCAGTGTCTTTTGTAATTATCCTGAATAAGGTGGGTGTGTTTGTGTGCTGACTGGATTTCACAGTTTTATTTGAAATTACATCACACTGATTCATTATAGTTTGTATTTATTGGTATTTATCTAAGTGCTTCCCTTTGTTTGTGTGTGAAACAGAGGTTGGTTAAGGCCAAGCGAGTTCTGTTGATCGGCGATATCCGTCAGAGCATTCTGCCTGGCCTGTAACCATAACAACCCTCACGCTGGCATAACCAAAACAACCGTCTCAGTGGCGCCATGTGATGCGGGTAGGTGAGGTCAGCCAGTGCAGAGGTTTGCTCAGGGAACATTTCTCACCTCCTTGAGCGGAACAACAAGCAAACAAACACGTCACACACACAGGAAGAGATGCCCCAGGAAGAGATGCCCCAGGAAGAGATGCCCCAGAGGAATCCACAGCACGCGCCCAACCGCCTGAGGACCGCCAGACACCAGTGTAAATGTCAGATGAGACATCACCATGGAATAGGCAGGACTGTGACCCTTGTCTCCACTCTATCAGCAGCAGGATCAGGAGGCTGAGGTTGGCGATCCAGTTCAGGTTCAGCAGACCGCAGTGGCTCCAGCACTGTTACTCTAAGTAGAGCAGAGAGAGGATCACTATCTATCTGTTCTCCCTCTCATCTCCTCTATCTCTGTCATCATCAGTGTAAAGAGCAGATGTACTGTTGACCCTGAGTCACCACTGTAGAGCAGTAAGAATGGGACTAGTGGTGTGGAGGTTTTTAAAAGTCACTTGTGTGGTTTAGCGGTCAAAGCTGCTGCCTCCAGATCACATACACTGCGTATACCAAACATTAGGAACACCTTCCTACACTGAACAAAAATATAAACGCAACATGTAAAGTGTTGGTCCCATGTGTCATGAGCTGAAATAAAAGATCCCAGAAATATTCCATACGCACAAAAAGCTTATTTATCTCAAATTTTGTGCACACATTTGTTTACATCCCTGTTGGTGAGCGTTTCTCCTTTGCCAAGATAATCCAGCCACTTGACAGGTGTGGCATATCAAGAAGCTGATTAAACAGCATGATCATTACACAGGTGCACCTTGTGCTGGGACAATAAAAGGCCACTCTAAAATGTGCAGTTTTGTCACACAACACAATGCCACAGACGTCTCAAGTTTTGAGGGAGTGTGCAATTGGAATGCTGACTGCGGGAATGTCCACCAGAGCTTTTGTCCGAGAATTTAATGTTAATTTCTCTACCATAAGCCGCCTCCAACATCGTTTTAGAGAATTTGGCAGTACGTCCAACCAGCTTCACAACCGTAGACCACGGCCCCATGTCGCAAAGATCTGTACACAATTCCTGGAAGCTGAAAATCCATGGCCTGCATACTTACCAGACATGTCACCCATTGAGCATGTTTGGGATGCTCCCAATATACAGCAACTACGCACAGCCATTGAAGTGGAGTGGGACAACATTCCACAGGCCACAATCCTCTGTAGCTCAATTGGTAGAGCATGGCGCTTGTAACGCCAGGGTAGTGGGTTCGATCCCTGGGACCACCCATATGTAAACATGTATGCGCACATGACTGTAAGTCGCTTTGGATAAAAGCGTCTGCTAAATGGCTTATTATTATTATTATTATTATTATTATTATAACTCTATGGGATGGAGATGTGTGGCCACACCAAATACTAACTGGTTTTCTGATCCACGTCCTTACTTTTTAAAAAAAGGTATCTGTGACCAACAGATGCATATCTGTATTCCCAGTCATGTGAAATCCATAGCTTAGGGCCTAATTTATTTATTTCAGTTGATTGTTTTCAAATTGTATTTGTCACATGCGCTGAATTAAACAGGTGTAGACTTTACCGTGATATGCTTACTTACAAGCCCTTAACCAACAATGCAGTTTTAAGAAAATATTGTTAAGAAAATAACGTAAAAATAAATAAATAAGTAACACTATAAAATAACAATGATGAGGCTATATACATAGTGGGGAAAAAAAAGTATTTAGTCAGCCACTAATTGTGCATGTTCTCCCACTTAAAAAGATGAGAGGCCTGTAATTTTCATCATAGGTAAATGTCAACTATGACAGACAAAATGAGGAAACAAAATCCAGAAAATCACATTGTAGGATTTTTAATGAATTTATTTGCAAATTATGGTGGAAAGTAAGTATTTAGTCAATAACAAAAGTTTCTCAATACTTTGTTATATGCCCTTTGTTGGCAATGACACAGGTCAAACGTTTTCTGTAAGTCTTCACAAGGTTTTCACACACTGTTGCTGGTATTTTGGCCCATTCCTCCATGCAGATCTCCTCTAGAGCAGTGATGTTTTGGGGCTGTCGCTGGGCAACACGGACTTTCAACTCCCTCCAAAGATTTTCTATGGGGTTGAGATCTGGAGACTGGCTAGGCCACTCCAGGACCTTGAAATGCTTCTTACGAAGCTACTCCTTCGTTGCCCGGGCGGTGTGTTTGGGATCATTGTCATGCTGAAAGACCCAGCCACGTTTCATCTTCAATACCCTTGCTGATGGAAGGAGGTTTTCACTCAAAATCTCACGATACATGGCCCCATTCATTCTTTCCTTTACACGGATCAGTCGTCCTGGTCCCTTTGCAGAAAAACAGCCCCAAAGCATGATGTTTCCACCCCCATGCTTCACAGTAGGTATGGTGTTCTTTGGATGCAACTCAGCATTCTTTGTCCTCCAAACACGACGAGTTGAGTTTTTATCAAAAAGTTCTATTTTGGTTTCATCTGACCATATGACATTCTCCCAATCCTCTTCTGGATCATCCAAATGCACTCTAGCAAACTTCAGACGGGCCTGGACATGTACTGGCTTAAGCAGGGGGACACGTCTGTCACTGCAGGATTTGAGTCCCTGGCGGCGTAGTTTGTTACTGATGGTAGGCTTTGTTACTTTGGTCCCAGCTCTCTGCAGGTCATTCACTAGGTCCCCCCGTGTGGTTCTGGGATTTTTGCTCACCGTTCTTGTGATCATTTTGACCCCACGGGGTGAGA